GCATTGTCATGAAGAGAATAATACATTACAACATACATAGAGAAGATGTGTTTAGTACACTGCAACGGTAGGGAATTAAACTAGAACAAAAGTAATAGTTAGAATGAACTGGGGCTTTTCGAAGCTAGACAGCCCGAGACATCCTATTTTCATTCACTCCAATTTAGAGGTACTTATTACAGAACTCTGTACAATGTTCCACAGAAAATAAGACCATGTTTTGTGATTTGCTGAAACTTTCATTATACTTATTTTAAGGTATTCTTTAACATGGCTCATTGCTTTTAGCAATGAGACAGCTACTGTCTTACTATAAGTTTGCAACATGTTGCCAGCAATTCCAAGATCTCTCTCTAACAAAATCATGATATGCATATTTTACCAATTCAGTGTTTTACTAACATGAGAACAGTGGATCCCCTTGTGAACCAATTCAGTAGTATTTAATATGATTTCTTTTTATTGAGTAGCAGAAGAGTAGAAACAGAAGTTGCCAGTGTTAACTGTGATTGTTCGAGAAGTGCACAGTTATTTGTTAATTTTTATTCTGGTAACCTCCGGCAAAACACATTATGATGATAATTTAAAATATATCAGTAAGAAAACAACATTTAACTTCTTTTCTAAAAAAGTGAAACACAATTGGAGTGATACGTTAATCAAGAAGCAAAGACAAGTGCCCTGCTAGCTGCTACCTTAATTGCACTCAGATAATCAACCAAATCGTTTTCAAAGGAAACACTTCTATTCACATCTTTTGCATCTTTCCAGGGAAAATCTTGCATCCATAGCCCCTGAGTTTTGTTATTCCAGTCGACATGTATCAAATTTGCTGTGTGCACAACAACACGAATCCCTTGAGGATATACAAGCAGCATGGCCTTTGAATGATGTGTTCCAAATGAAATTGGAAGTGGAGGCTTGTGAAGGATCCAATTGGCTGGCTTCACTTTCTGTCACCCAACCATGAATATGAGATGAGAAAAAGGAAATACAAAAATATCATGAATTACTCTAGTAATGTTGTCACCTTCAGAAGCTCCACTGATGCACCATCTTCTCCATGTATAACTAGGACATGTCGAACTTTCCTTAAGCTTGGACATGCTGCACAGTGCAATGTTATTTACATTAAAACTAAAGGATGTAGATAATGGCAATGACTGGAAAAGAAAGCACAGTGATATTTCACCACATAGCATAGGGAACACAGATGGGCGCTGGTTGCCAAACTCCTTAGTAAATACATACATTTCATAACTAAGTGCATGTCAACAAAAAGATACATGAAGTAGTGGAAAATAGAAGACAAATGAGAATCATAATCAAAAATAGCAAAATAAAAGGCCAAAAGTACATGTTTTGCTTATCTTTGTAGTCCAGTTTTTTTATTCCACAAATATATTATGCTTTACAATTAACTAGTAAACATACAAATTGTAATCCTAGCCATAGAGGCTCAGAAAGATGAGCTTCCAAAATTATTGCACAGGAAACAATTTAGGTAAATCAATAACATAAATGACTATGATTCTAGAAACCAATAGAGAGTGACCAATATAGTTACATCAATTTATCAGTAATGAAGAATATGAGATGAGTTAGGTTGTTACCAGCAGCTACTTTCACTTCAAAAAGAATTATACCAATGAATAGTTACAGCAAACAAAACATTGAGGGGAAAGCTACCAGGATGGCAGAAACTAAATGCTTATTCAATGAAAAAAATGTGGCAGATTACTTTCAGCAACAAAGAAAGGACTGCTTTTCCTCTTACCAACAAGCACGTAGAATTTAGTATTAATTGTGCAGTACAAAAAAAATTAAAAGGAGCAGACAAATATAAATAGCACAGGATCGTAGTTGGTTTCATGATTGAGTGTTCTGACTTCTGAAACTGTAAAGTGGCAGAGGCGCCAAATTTATTTTGTTTGCAAAAAAGGTCACTACTTATGGTAAAAAGGAAGCAGCCCTCATACAAGGACAAACAATATTACTTGTATGATTTCCACCACAATAACCCACCTGTAAGCAGCCATTCCATGTCCACCATATAATTTGAGAGTACAGCAAGAAGCACTTCACCCTAATAATTCATTCATCATGTAAGAACTAGTATACTTCTTTGATGAATCTGGCAATGCATGAATAGAGTGTGAACATAAGAGAACATTTGTTTTAGAGAAATGGTTGGGAAATGATATGCAACACAGTATCCCTGAAAACTGAACAGATCAGCAGAATAAGAACTAGCCTTTGCTCCCCCACCATACACGATACCATTGACAATATAGACAGAAATCTTTACAAGGTCCAACTAGAGAACAATTCCATCTTTCAAACAGCAGACTACATGAGTTGAGGCTATATAGTGATAAATCACAAATGGTATATGAGCAAGAGTTTGTGTTGGTAATGATTTTCTTTTTGAACAAATATGTTGGTAATGATGAGCAGGCTAAGAAATTTGTTCTTATGCAACATTTGTGTCCTGAACAGATCATATCTAAAAGATGTTGTGGCACGCCATGTTAAACGAAATCAACCACATAACTTCCGCAAGAGCTCCTGTTAAATGGATGATACCTGTATGACATCTTGAATGGTAACTGAGGAAGTATTAGTCCATGAAGGAAGACCTTGGACACGCATGAGCCGAAAAGTCAATGAAAGTACATCTTTCAGATAATCAACAGAGTGTATTCTCTCGTTATTTCTCTCAGAAAAACCAGCACTATCAAGTGAACTTAACATTTGATCACAACCCAAACCGGAAATAGTTGAACTTTCTTCTGCAAAGCTTTTCTGGAATAGGACAGGAAATAGTAATGAAACTAAGATGGTAATGTACTATACTACAATTCAATAGTATACTGGTAATTTTACACAAGGAAAGAAAACATACAGCTAAACTAATATTCAGCAAGCTAAGGGGCACCATTTTTTACAATGCAAAATATAAAATATGCCAACACTAAACAACAGAAGCATACAAGGATAGCATATCCAATGCTGAGTTTCAGAAAGCAAATCCAAACATCCAATACTTAGATACTATTTGATAAATATTCACCACAGATAAGTACATTTCTAAACGCTTGCACCTTTGGATGGTATTTAAGTGTACCAGGATCTTTCAGTGGTATATTTATGAATCAGGATCTTTCAGTGTCACAGCCTGGAGTCTATGAATTAAGACGTAAAGACTTTATTTTCCTACCAGAAATATATAAAGATAGCCACTGATCAATTTCATAAACAATTGTCTGACATAATTTAAATTAGTTTATCCACGATAAAGTTATCAGAATATACACTGGAAAATCCCTTCTTTTAAAGGCATTCTTTAAGGGTATGTTTGGTTGTTTGTCACCTTGAGCTATAGCCCAGCTAGGCAAACCAGGTTGTTGCTGCGTTGCTAGGCTTGCTTTACTGAGTTGTTTGGTTGTTTAGTTTTTGACGGGCAGTTAGTTAGTCTAAAGAGAAGTTTGTCGTCGAAGGAGAGCCGAATTGGCTCTCCACTGCGAGCGAGCTTTTCCTTGCCCGTAGGGCTAGCTTGCCCCCAGAAGCTGCGATATATTTATGGTTCCAAACGCTGGGCCTTGCCAGGCCAGGCTAGGCTAATGCTAGCCTTAGATCCAAACGTGCCCTAAGTATTCTATGTCCAGCACTAGGATCATTTATGTTATATTAAAACTACAGCATTGCCCAGATTAAGCCATGATCAGACTAAACGGAAATATGATACACGGAAAACCATGGATTGCTCTCTTCTAAGTTAAACAAACTGCACAATACAGGCAGTGCAACTAGAAAGGTTAAGTACTTAAGTTACCTGTAAACTTCTTGCCAAAGCCTCATCTTCCATAATCTGACGATTTCTTTTGATAACTACAGTATCATCCTCACAGAGCCTCTTCCCCTTTTTAAAATCACTTGAACCCATTGATGTGGAACTTTTATGGTTATCGCCCACATTCAAATACTTCACAAAATATTCACCAGGGATGAGTTCCAGGACATCATCATGTGCAATCTTTACTCTCTCTTGAGCACAGACCTTCCTCCTCTGGCCCTCAGATCGAACAATGATAGGATTTGGTCCTTCCTGCACATCCAATGCCAATGAACAACAAGTTATTTTCTGAAAAAAAAGCCATCAGAACAATACTGCGCAGTTAATTGGAATATCCCCATGCCTTATCACACTCACCACTACCGCTTCAATGGAACCATCCGCCGAGGCATGTAGGCTCAGATGCTTGCGGCTGACTCTCTTGTCGACGACCACCAAATGATTCCTCCCTACAACATTGGCACCCAGATAGATAGGAATGCTTGACACCGATCCATTTGACGAGCTCGCATTTCCTTCATTGAGGGGGACTAGATTGCCAACCCTTACCTAAGCAATACACCAGTTTTCACACATCAGCTCAACAACAAAATCTTAAATCTCCTATGGAAAAACACTGATCAGAATACAGCGCAATGCACTGAAGCGATTCGCTGATTCTAATCACGCCTCCCATCCCCAAACCCACCCGGGGAGAAAAAATCGCACGCGCATATCATCGCCAAAACCACACCCCCAAAAAAAATCGCACGCGCGGAGAGAGAGAGAGAGAGAGAGAGAGGAAGATAATACAGAACGCAACTTACTCGAGACGAGGACGTCATGGGCGCGGTCTGGGATTGACTCCAAACCCTAAACCCTAGTCCCCCACATTGGAATCCTACCCAGCGCAATGGGGAGGAGGATGGGGAAGGGAAAGAGAACCGGAGAAGACGAAGACGAAGGCCATTCGAGAGCTCGAGTCGCGCGAACCGTGATTGCAGCCCAACCACCAAATCTATATGGGCTTTAGCCCATTTATCAACTTCTACAAGGCTGACGTCGAGAAACTCCATGGCCCAAAAAAGCCCATCATCAACTAAATCAGACCCAAAAGCTTCATCTAGAGGTCACTGGGCTGGAGCCGCCGCCACACACGTGAGTCTCCTACCCTCCTTCCTCCTCCGGTCGTAGCGGCGGCGCCCAGCGGCCGCGCCACCGCGTCGTCCCCCCGCCAGCTGCGGCGCCTCGCCTGGTCCACCGGCGGAGGGGCCGTGCGGCGCCCCGCCTCTTTCGCCCGCGGAGACCGGGGAAAGCGCAGTTCCGTTGCTATCAGCGGCCTTCGCCTCTGCCCTGAGTAGGCGGCGGAAAGCGCGGTGGCTAAGGACTCCAACTGCAGCGGCGTGTTCCAGAAGTATCGCGGAAACTGACGCCTTCTTCCGGGAGCAACTGAGCAAAGGGTAACTTTTTTTTTGTTTTTTTTGTTTTTAGTGAGCAAAGGGTAACTGAAATCATGACTCCTAATTCAGCTTGACTGCTTTCAATTCTCGAGTAGTTGTGACATCTAGCGTGATTATGGCTTTCCTACATCTTGTTTTGGTTTGTTTGTTTGGTAGTAGTAGAAGCCAAGAGCATCGTAAAGATAGAAGCGAGATTTGGGGAAACTTACTGTTCTGTAAAGCTGGAGAAACGTAGGTTTTATCTTCCTTTTTTTTTATTTCCTTTTTGGGCATTTCAATCCTTAGAATATCATACTAATTGAAGGTTTAGAGGTATGATGAAGACTTAATTAATGCTATGCTTTAGTGATCATGGTGTTCTTTTAAATAATAAGTGTTGATCCTAGCTTATATTGAAAGCTAATAGTAATAGCCTAATATAGGGTATTTCTACCAAAAAAATGTGATCGTGCTGCTTAGGAAACTTAGGAGCTGGAAGTTTTGAATATTACTAGAATATAGTGTATCCTTATTCCTGAATCCTGAAGGTTAGCTACCACTTTGTTTGAATAGCTACCACCTTGTTTATCTTCTGTCCAACCTTGGCGTTAATCCAACACAACTACGCAAGGGATTTATGATGGTTCGAATGAGTTGTGTAGTGCTTATTTTTGTGTGAGGTTGTATGACTCTGCTTGTTGAAGTCATAACATTTGACATCATACAGTTTGGCTCGCACTGCATTCAATAGTCAATATAACCTTTTTCAAAAGAAAAAGTCAATAGTAATGGTGACATCCTAATTTCTCTTACTTGATGAAGTGGAACATGACGTTAATGTTAGATATACCCATAAAAAAATTGTAAAGTTTCAAACGTCTAGAGTACGTAGTTTAGTGAATCATCATTTTTTTGTTTTGCTTTGTTTGACGTGCAACACATTTTTGTTCATAACTCAGCAGAAGTTCTGTTTGCACTTTTCCATCTCTCGTTTCTTTGATATTAATATTTTTGTCTTGTTGCATTTAGGTATGCATACATTTTCTTACTGAGCAACCTTTTGGAATCCCTCTCTAAGGAACTGTTTACTGCAACATCTTTAGGTTCTTATTAATACCATGGATCAGAAACCTAAGGATGATTTTGATTTCCTTGAACCATCAGTACTCTTAGATGAGACACACTATCAAACGGGTTTCAAGAATGGTTATAGTGAGGGCTTGGTGTCTGGAAAAGAAGAGGGAAGGCAGGTTGGTTTAAAGAATGGTTTTCAGGTAGGTGAAGAACTAGGTTTTTATCAGGGATGTCTGGATGTTTGGACGTCGTTGGTTTCAATTGATCAAGATGCATTCTCAGCTCGGGTCAGGAAAAACATTGAGCAACTAGCTGCACTGTTGAGAAGCTATCCGTTGTCGAACCCAGAAGACGAGCAAGTTCAAGATATAATGGAGAAGATAAGACTGAAATTCAGGGTTATCACAGCAAGTTTAGGTACAAAACTGGAGTATCAAGGTCGCCCTACATCATCCAAGCAGGATGTTGAGGATCTGTAACTAGTTTAGCTTTCATTGTCAAATTACCATGTTGAAATGATATATGAGACCCAAACATGTTTATGTAGGTTTCGGTTAACGAATACTTGTTCGAGTGAATGCTGCTATATTACTCTGTTTCTAAACATCTTATGAAGGCCACCGGGATCACAGTGGAGACCTGAAAGCCTGTATCTGAGTATCTATGTACACTCAAGTTAATTTGAGGCAGTTCTGGACTCATCTTGTTTTTGATCCTTAGTCCTGCTTTACTTACCACATATGAGTACCTCCGTGACATTTATCATAATTGAGGTGTAATATAATGTCTTCACAAAGAACTTATCATTTGCTTCCTATTTGCACATACCGTGCATTCCATGGCTGTGTTGGGGAGGTGAGTTCGCACGCAAAACGGAGCGACACATTTTCTTATGATTAATTAAGTATTTACTATTTTTTTAAAAAATGGATTAACATAATTTTCTAAAGCAACTTTTGCATAATTTTTTTTTTAAAAAATACCATTTAATAGTTTGAAAAACGTGCGCGTGAGTTGGGAACTCACCGGTGCCCTGTAAACCTGCATTCTCTATGCGGTAAGACTACTGATCGCTGGTCCTGCTTTTCTGCAAACGGCGACCTGGTTTCAGGTAACGTTTCTGCTGCTGTTACTCATCATGATCATCATCAGTATACCTGATTACTCTATCCAGCACATACCGACATACGGAACTTTTTTTTTTTCACAGAAACCACGAACGCAGCATGCCATTTTTTCAGGAAGAACCAACCACTATTTTTATTATTTCAGGAGGAAATTCCAGAGCGAATTCCTCATCAGTCATCACCGCCACAGTTATCAGCCGAACTACACGCCACGGCCACGGCCGCGGCGGGCATGGCTGGCGACATACATGGTCGGGCGCGCCGCGCCGCCGCGGTCGCTGGCGACGTAGCTGGAGACGGTCTCGACGATGCCCATGGGGTTCAGGTCCTCGCCGTCGTCGCTCTCGAACACGGCATGCCGCGTCAGCCCGCTCACGAGGCCGTGCGTGTGGAGCACGACCGTCAGCGGGCGGTCGGCCTCGATGCCGCACTCGTGCACGGTGAAGAGCCTGTTGGGGCGGCCGGCGTAGACGGTGTCCGCCGCGACGCCCGGGGAGAACGCCCCCGGCGACGCCCAGACCGCGCGGTCGTCGCCCATGAACAGCGCGCGCGCGCCCAGCCTCGACAGCGCGATCGTCCTCGCCGCCATGTCCACCGCGTACGCGACGCACACCCTGGGCATCGTCAGCATGTCGGGCCCTTCCGGTGGCACCTCCTCGCCCGCGTGCACGTAGAACACCTCCTTCATCAGCATCAGCCTCTCCCTCTCGTCGTCCGCCACCAGCGTGAGGCGGAACGAGGGGGCGTCCACGGGCACGTACGCCACGGGCACCAGCTTCGGCTCCCCGCGCGCGCCGTCGCTCTCGAGCTGGTAGATGTAGACGTGCGAGACGGCGTAGAAGCAGCCGGCGAGCGACGCGGCCGACTCCAGGTGGAAGTGCGGGACGTAGACCCACTTCCAGTGGCTGTCGCCGGGCCTGGCCACGGCGACCTTGTTTACCAGGCCGCAGAACACGGCCACCGCCTTGTGGTCGTCGGAGAGGCCGATGGCCGTCGGCTGGTGGTACTCGGGCTCCACCATCTTTGGGTCGTGCGACGCCGCGTGGATCATGGTGACGAGCGAGGGGAGCTCGGTGAGGTGGCGCGTGAACGGGTGGAGGAGGCGGAGCACGTGGGCGCCGCCGCGCTCCCGCAGCGTGAGGAGCCCGCCCAGGGTGGGGCCCATGACGTCGTGGTCCTTGAGCTCCGGGACGTCGACGGCGAGGACGGCGCCGGTGCCGGTGTTGAGGAGGCGGTTGCGGAACGGCGCCGCCGCCGGGGGGGTCTCCTCCAGCATGATCCACGACCTGGGGAGGTACTTGGGGCGGAGGCCGTCGCCGACACGTGGGTCCTCGGTGTGCTGCCTCCAGGGGCTGCACACGGCGCGGAAGCGGATGTAGTCCGTGACGTCGTTGGCCAGTAGGCGCTCGGCGATCAGCATCACCAAGCACCCCGTCAGGGTTGACCAGTCGCTCCTACAACATTAATTGTGAGGAAAAAGTGCGTACACCATAAATAAAAAAAAGATGCAGATACAACAAAAACAGGTAGACCATAAATAAAAAGATGTGGATACAACAAAAAGGGGTAAACCTATAAATAAAAAAGATGTAGATACAACAAAAAAAAAAAAGGGTAAACCATAAGTATTAAACATGTAAACACCTATCTACTAAGAAATTACCTAAGGAAAAGTGGTTAAACCATAAATAATCAAATATGTAAACACATATCTACGAAGGAATCATCTAAGAAAAAGTGGGTAAACCACTAAGTATGTAAACACCTATCTACGAAGAAATTACTTAAGCAAAAGTGGGTAAACCATAAATATTAAATATGTAAACACTTATCTACGAAAAAGATACCTAAGGAAAAGTGGTTAAACCATAAACACCAAGTATGCAAACACATATCTACGAAGGCATTACCTAAAGAAAAGTGGGTAAACCATAAATACCAAATATGTAAACACCTATCTACGAAAGAATTATATATGAAAAAAGGGTAAAACATAAAACCAAGTATGTAAACACCTATCTATGAAGGTGTTGTCTAAGAAATCCATCTAACAAAGAATCGCATCCATCTAAAAATGGAATTGTCTAAAAAAATCCATCTAAAAAGAAGTCACCCGTGAATCTATCCAAAAATGAATCATCTAGAGTTCATCTAAAGAAGAAATCATTGGAAAATACATCTCGAAAAGGAATATAATAAAATAGATCTAAAAGAAGCACCTAAAAGTTGAAGAACTTACCCCATCCGAAGCGTTTCAAGAGGATCTTCGCGACTCTAAGACATATTTGACGAGCTGAGCCTATGGCAAAGGAAGGAGCTCGACAAAACCTAGAGCCTTGGCGGCGGCTGTGAAGAATGGTTGAGGGCGAAGAGGGAGGGGGATTATTTATGGTATAGAGAGGAGCGGGTAGGTAGTAGAGATAGGGTATAGAGGATGGAGCGCGTGACGGTTCACTTTGGGCTGAGACCCCTGTAGGATAGGAGGCCGATTAGAGGGGTTGACTAGGCGGTTTTAAAACTTTTGGCTAAAACCGAGTTTTGTATGCGGAAGCGTAAATCAAAACGGTTTTGCACAATTCAAAATCTAAATCAACTAATCTCAAGCAAGTGCACTAAGAAGCTAGCCTATGTTGAGATTTGCAAGCCTAGGGTGATAATAGCGCAAATAAACTCTAGTATGTAAACTTGCTCAAAGTAAATTTGCACAAAATAAAGAAGACAAGTGACAAAGAATTTTTTCACCTGATGTTCGGAGCTTGCCAACTTCCTATGTCACCGTTGAGGCGAGTCCAACTTCACCGCTCAAACCACAAAGTGGTCTCATAAGCCTCTATCACTATGGTCGTTCTTCCTCCACTCTGGAGATGGCGAACACCGAGCCACTCACAATCAACACCGGGCCTCCTACACAACCTTCTTGGAGAGGTCACCGGGCAACTCCTCCAAACCGTCTAGGAGGTGGCAACCTCCAAGAGTAACAAGTCTAGGATGCTTGCCGATGATGATCAAGTGCCACACTAGCTCTAACAAAGAAGCAAATGCATTTGGATTGGCTTAACTCACTCTCCAACACCTCACTAGATAAACTAAATGCACAAGGGTGTGAGAGCTCTTGCAAGGGTTCAAGATAATGCAATGGAGTACCAAAACCCTACCCTTGCTGCTGGGGAATGGGTATATAAACCCCCAACCACCAAAACTAGTCGTTGGAGGCGAAACCCGAACTCCCAGGTGTTGGGCGGTCATACCGCCATGGGGTGGCCGGTCATGCCGCTCTCTATTGTAATGGCTAGAAAACTAGTCATTACAGTGCATTTAATGCACGGGCGATGGCTAGCCAGTCTGACCGCCATAGGCATGCCGGTCAGACCGCCATCGGCTCCGGTCAGACCGTCTTCGGCTCTGTATCGTCAAGATGAGACCTCCTTCAAAATCAGGATCAGCGGTCAGACCAGACAACACACATTGGTCAGACCGCCATAAGGGCTGCGGTCATACCGCAGTTCACTTTTCAGCACAACCAGCTGTTAGTAAAATGATGATATCTCTTGACTCGGGTCTCGGAATTTGACGTTCTTGGACTCTATGAAAAGCTTATTCAAAGGGATATCCAACTCATGAAATTTCCATCCATGAAACACAACTTAAAGCAAGGAGAAAGGGCTCACACTCCGAAGGATACTCCACCGGAGAATACCACATTAAGCTACCCAAACTTATAGGATGTACCAACTTCTTTCTTTGTTTGGGACTTAAGAAAACTCATTACACTTAGCTAGACAATCCCACCAAATGCACCTACATGCATATGAAACATGCTCGCTTCATAGACCCGTCTTGATAGTACAACGCCTATCTAACAAATCTGATCTACACCAAACACCAAGACCGGGAACAAACTAAGAAAACATTCTTAGCTTGATTATACCTTTGCCTTGCGCCATCCAACTTGTGGTTAATGCTTGAGCCAAGATCAACACTTATGACCATTCGGTTGAATCATGTTTATGCCGAGGTCTTGATCATCCTTTGTTAAGACTTTCTTCTCATCATAAGCTTACTTCGTTCTTATCAACATGGCAATGTCTTTGGCTTGGTGACCATCAACCCATGATGTCATCCATTAGCCTCATCACGGTGGGACCTATTCCTTTGCACAGTTCATAGGAGAACATTAGTACCAACAAATCAGTTATCATCATCCACTTGATGACCAACCGGTTGCATATGAAAGATATGAATATGTTTGTTAGGTATTCATTAACACCACAAGTATCATATACTCGTACGCAAGCTCAAGTGCAAATATCCGATATAAATAATAGGCAAATAATATGGATCTAGAACATTCACAATAAATGTATAGGATTTGCTCCCCCTAAATATATGCATACAAAAAAATATACAAGAGATGTAAGTGTATGCATAAGTAAAGAAGAACCAATGGAGTTTATCCTATACACGAAGGCATGTAGCAATGATAAAGATAAACAAAAACACATACCTTCATGATCTTCATGTTCTTAATGTAAATGAGACTAAATAAGATAAGACTCAAGTAAACATTAGTCTCACACTTATATACGAATAACATGGAAATCATATATATGAACCTATCAAAAAGTAGGAGATAAAAAGTGATATATATCGCTTTATTTCCATGCAGTTCATCCTTGTCATGATTAAGGTCCATCACAAAAGAATGCATGTCTACTACATCTCATTATTGGGAAATAACCTAATTGACAACTTATGTAAAGGAGAAGTTAATCCCATAAACATGGGTTTATCATCTATCACCAAAGCAACAATTACACAAATTGTTTAAGCCAAGATCTTTCAATCTTTTCTCTCTTTGGTGATGGATAATAACCCGATATAAACAATATAGGGAGATGAGATGAAAGATGATTTCAAATCAAGATAGAGATATTACAATAAACAAAATATAGAATAACCTCCCCCTCAATTTGTGCATACATATGGATATGAAAGAATGCATATGCACATAATTAATTAAGAAATGAGAGAGCTCACACTATATTTTAGATCCACAAGAGATACAAGATTAGAATATGTGGAGTTTAATACATACCTCCCATCATTTTTATTTTCATATCCAAATGAGGCTAGTCAAAGAAAAGCTCATAAAAATGTTAGTCTCATATAGTTAGATTTGTTATTAATCACCAAAACCAAATTAAGGCACTTGAACTTACAACCCCCAAGGTATATGGACCTAGAACAAATGGAACAAGAAAAACACTATTGGGCTAATTGGAGCAACATTTCTATTGGGCTCTTCATGAAAAATGATGTGTGTATAATTTGTTCCTTTTGTTTTCTGTTTTTGACTTCTAAAACATGAAGCACCAAGGTCATTTCCTTGGCAAATTCAACATATACTCTATTATAAATGTAGTGGTGTTGTATTCGATCCAGGTTTATGATTGTATTCACACTACAAAATGTACTTTCAATTTAATAGTTTTGCCACGTTGCACATAATACTTGAATTACTGATTTCTTAGTGTCAGAATTACAAGGCAAGTAATGGTGAAAGGTTTTGATTAATTCGTGCATTGGAAGACTACAATACCAGAAGTTCTCTTAGTTTGTCATGAAATAAGCTCTTGTAGTCTCAAGGAACCAAATCATGTCTCTTGATAAACAGAGAAAATACTTTTGGGTTTTCAAATTGACAGGATAGAGACATCTATAAGGTGTGTCTCATTCACCTTCTTGTTCAAGTCAGGCACACACACCTCCCCAGTTTTGAGCATTTTCAAAATAATGTTGTTTGGAATGCAATGTGTCTATTTCTTTGCATCTAGAAAATGTGAACTTAAACTTCAAGTACAAAAATGTTTGATATGATTTACCAATTTTCAATCTAAGACAATTGTGTTTCATAAGAAAAAAAATCTTCACTTGGTATTTGAACTTTTTGTCCACAATACTGAACCACTGACTTTGAAGAAATAAAGAAGCTAGTAGAAAAGTATAAAGTTTCAAATGAAACATCATGCTTTTGGCTTGGATATGAATGAGCTTGTGGATGTTGGTGGTGGTGACAGACTCCGCATTCAGTTGGACTTGGGAAAGGCATGTTGGTTCACTTTATATGTTGGTACAACATTAGTACAATATTATAAAGACTAGTAACATGTCCATGACTTGTAACGCGTCATGTCCATATAATTAGGGATGGCCTAGAGAGTGGTTGAGGATAAAGCATTGAATCTAGTGGTTATGTTCCACATACATGCATGTTGCACATGGTGGAAGGAAGGGATCGAAGGATGATGACTCCGCTCTTTTAAGATAGGCAAATATTAAAAGTTCAATTAAATAACATATACATTGTAGTGCAATATTACAAATACATCAATCAAGACAAAAAAAATCAAATACAAAATGGGGCAAAAGCAAACTCATTTTATGGATCAAATTCCACAAAATTTGAATCCTAGAATGAAATGGAGCAAAACATTCCCCCTCTCCTAACCAAGATTTTCTATTTAAGTGGCGTCGAGATAATTCTAGATCATTTCGAGGCACATCATTTAAGTGTGGGAAAGCATTACTAAAGGTTCAGAACTAGATTTCTTTTAGGTGATTCAAAACTGGATTTTCATCACTTGGTTCTTTTAGAAAAATCTCAAATGGACTTTTCTTCACCATTATTACAGATAAAGCTAATCTATGGTTAAAAAAAGAGAAAAATACATTGGCGGTACACAAACTTATTAGGTGGATACTCCCTCCGTACTCACAAAGGAAGTAGTTTAGGACAATGTTTAAGTCAAACCTTGGGAATATAAATCATGAATAACTCTTAAGTTGTTGAGTTTGAAAATGTAAAAATCATATGAATAGATTTGTCTTGAAAAATACTTTCATAAAAGTATACATATATCACTTTTCAATAAATATTTTTGTAGAAACAAGAAGTCAAAGTTGTGTTTTGGAGACCGTGTCGCATTCCAAAATGACTTCCTTTACGAGTACGGAGGGAGTATAATTTAGTATAAAAATTTGTAAAATGTATTTTGGTGTATGAACTCGCAAACCAAAACCAAAAGGACATGTCATGGCTAATTTTACCAAGTTAAACGTTTATTAGGACACAACGTATACATATAGGTTGGCATGAGACATGATATAACAATTTGATTTGTGCTTTATTATTCTTTATTCTATCTTTGCATTGCTTCTCTTTTTTATGTCTTTATCTGTACAATAGTTAGGCCGCATTAAACTTTTTACTGGACAAATTTATGTCTACGTAGCATTTTTCTCGTGTACATGTTTATGTAGTATCCTAGTTAACACTCAAATTGGCAAGATTAGCCTTGTGTTCTTTTGGTTTTGGTTTGCACGCACCTTCTAACAAGTTCGTGTATGTACTGGATTATACCCACCGAACAAATTTATGTATCTTAAATACAATTTACTAGGAGGTAATGTATTTTCTAGTGTAAAATTTGATACCTCTAAGTAATGTTCCTCAACTATAATTTTTTAGCGTAAAATTTAGGTATCTTGAGATACTTTCTGAACAACCGTAACTTTTTTCTAAAAGAAAAGAAATAAGCTAATCTCCATTAGAAATCAGTGGGCGGGGATGTTTTTGTTAGTGAGAGGTACTAGTGTTAGCTTAAAATGATTACCACGTGCGTACATGTAACTATTGCACATCTATGTGCAAATATTGATGTTGTGGCATTTGCCACCCTACGAGGTTATTTGCAACGGAACCCTGTTTGGATTGTTGCAAAATTTACTTGTTCCGTGTAGAACTTAATCATTTTTCGGTCTTCTGTGACAGTCCTATGAAGTTTCTATAAGATTTTTTTTGTTGTTATAGCATTTTTTTTGGCGAGGTCTATGGCTAGTATTTCCTTTTGTATTCCAAATCGTCAATGTAATTGGCTAACAAAGTGTACTAAAGACTGATAAATTGGGTGGTGATACTTAGGCTGAGTTCGTATGTGAACGTTCCCAACCTCTTGCTCGTTTTTGACACGCATGATTCCCAAACTACTAAACGATGTCTTATTTTGCCAAAATTTTCTATAGAAAAGTTGTTTTTAAAAATTATACAACTACTTCATTTTTTTAAGTTTTTAGCTAATACTTAATTAATTATGTACTAATCTACCACTCTATTTTGTATGCTAGGGTGAGGGTTCCCAACCCTCACCTTAGAACACAACCTTAATTAGGATACAAGGAAAAGTGGTGTTAACATGCGAGTGTGCCACTAACCACCGAAATTTATGAGGTAGAACAATCTTGTAACGAAGACGACGATGACTTTGTAGTTTTGTATTTTGTATCAGCGCAACAGGTGTGCTGGCTGAATTGTAGCAGTTGCAACCGAATATAGCCTACGAAATTGACTTACGACAAAATAACGTTATAGACGGCAACATGCACCTTGACTGAACCTATATAGGAGAAGTAGGTTGGCACCGTTGGCCATGGACTAGGGTTTTCACCGAAACAAGCTTGAGATGAGCTCAATCCATCTTCGAGTTTTCAAGCAAACTCGGTTCGAGCTCGAGTTAAACTCGAGCATATAATAATGTATATTAGTACCTGGTAAAAAAATAATGTATATTAGTATTCTTTATAAAATAAAAAAGGTTAATCATATTAAAAGAAAAAGACAGGGAGAATATATATATACCAACATATACTAGTTTATTTTGTTTCCCATATTTTTCTAGGACAACATTTTTGGGTCTACACTCATTTGCGGATCATAGGCAAATGCAACGACGTCTTCATGGACTGATCAGGATCCTCTACTGTTGAAGGCTGTGTTTAGTTTTCCTTCAAACTTCCAACTTTTCCGTCACATCAAATGTTTGGACACATGTATGGAGTATTAAATGTGGACGAAAAAAACCGATTGCACAGTTTACAAGTAAATTGCGAGACGAATCTTTTGAGCCTAATTACGCCATGATTTGACAATGTGGTGCTACAGTAAACATTTGCTAATGACAGATTAATTAGGCGGCAAGGCAGCATATGATCCAAACATTCGCTCGCCAGTTGTTTCAATCGCTTCTTTATTTATTCTCAAATCATCACCGGCAGGTACCGATAAAATAGTCACTAATGCCCTTCTTGATCATAAGTTGCCTCTCTTTGTTTAATCCCATGGCCCCTTGTAGGCCATCTCTATTTCGTAGGTTTGACATAGTCCTTTTATATTCGTACCTTCAAATGGAAAAGGCTTGAGATGCCCATTATCGAGCGATATAACAACGGTTGCACAATTCGCCTCTGCTCTCGATAAAACAAGTCAGAATCAATTGGCAAGGGGTCGACGATTACGAGAATTGCTTAAACAATCCCAATCAAACCCTCTCCCAGTGGAAGAGCAGATAGCTCAAACGAAAGTCAAAAAACCTCTAGCTCATAGTTCGATTGGACATGTAGGTTATATTCGTACTGGTTTCTCATGTATAACCATAGAAGGAATTCAATCACTACTAATTGGTATATTTATTTATGCATTAATGACGATAGATGCATTCGCCATAGTTCCAGCATTACGGCAAATCCGTGTCAAATATATAGCGGATTTAGGCAAGGGCCAGCGGAAGAAGTTCTAGATACTTTTCCGTAATAGATTCGTCTCGCAATTTATAGACAGAATCTATAATTTATTTTGCTATTAGTTTACGTTTAATACTTCAAATACTTACCAGTACACGTCAATTTTTTTTATCAAAACAACTAAATACGGCCAAAGTCACTGGATTTGATAAAAAGACCGTGCATTTAACCTCAATCCTTCGTGGACACGGCGACCGATCAGGCGATGACAGCAGCTAGCAGGCCGAAACAATGGCTACGGCGCTATGCCACGCAGGAGTACGTACTAGTAGTGCGATAGGGACGTCGCCGCTGATCGCGGTCGGTGTGTGTGGGGGCGGGGGCGGAGGCAGAAAGCGGCCGAAATCGTCGTGCTGCGCCCATTATTTTCCTCCCAAATCCACAGGCCGCGCTGAGGTCGGCAGGGGCGGCGGGAGATTGGCGGTTTTCAGACGCGCGTCCGCGTCTCCGCGAGGTCTCGGCGCTGACTGCCGCAGAAACGGTGCGACTCGCTCCACGTACGGCGCCCGCGTGTGAGCTCACCTGCAGGCGAACACGGCTGCTGCTGCAGTGCTGCTTGGGCGCAACGCGGCAGAAGAAGCGGCAGATTTCTGTGCCGTCGACACTGCATGCGGCTCAAGTCTTTGTTGCCTTGGGGCCAGGCTACCGATGATATCCTCGTGGCTTCACCTGATGTTGTCATGACATCAGTTGCTGGAAAAATGTCTTGGTCAACTGGCGAGAGGGATGTTGAGGTATTGGGGATTTGGGGGGTGTAAGCTCGTGACGGAGGAGTTGGATATGACCGGAGACGTACTACGCGTCATCCTGTGTGCCAACCGCTAGTAGTAAAACCTTCGCACTTGGCACTTTGGCAGGGCGGGCGCAATCGAGAAAAGAGAAAAAAGGAGGATACTGATTATGCAATTGCAACCGGCAAAGGTGATAATGTTTTGTTTTTTGCCACTGTTATATTTTACTGCAGCTCATTACGTAGTCATAGTTGAAGAGCTCAATTCAGCGGCAGCATAAGATTTTTTTTTTCATTGTTTTGTTTTTACTGAAAATTTTAAGACAGAATTCCTTCTTTGTCACAATTGGGCGACAAAACTATACATTATTATATTTATAACTGTAAGGCACAATATTATTGTTTGTACGATAATATAGATTGTATTTTACGCAAGAATTAACATATTTAGGAATACGAACCTTTTAAGACTTGGCTAATATACTCTTGGAGTCTTGGAGTTAGAGGGGCTATCTCTACAACTTTCAACACCTTGATGTATTTATGTACTAATGCTAGGCTTAAAATATTTTACCGGCATAAATTATTATTGACTTAAGAGAAAAATGTGCAAAATTATGAGGTTGGAAAATACACAGGGTTGCTTCCTGACCTTTTATTTGGCACAATACATACTCTATCCGTTCTAAAATATATATGTATCTATATTTTACTACGAATCAGAAACATATTTTAAAACGGGGGAGTAGTACATAGCAAACAATATTTATTTATTTATTGAATTATTAATCAACAAGGTGTAGTGATAATTTATTCTAGGGATACTGTCATCTTAGCTACCGTGAAATCTAGGACATTTCAAAGATACCCTTGGAGGAATATAGGCCGTCCACTCGATTCAATCAAATGGACTAAATCTCTTTCTACATCCCACTTGTAGTATGTGTAGTAGAGATGAGCATGGGTACAAAATAGTAAAGAAAAACTAAATATTATCGGTGGTTAGATGGAACCGGGCACAAACTGCGTATTGAGAGTGCAACAGTGACGATGGAACTGATGGACAACCCATTTGATTCGATAGAATCCGCGTCAACATCGTCGATCGTCAGGCAGCTGTCGCTCTTGCACCGCCGTCGACTACCATATCACTGGTTCGACGCATCGTGGCCATCGCAACTAGATCTTGCCATCAGCTTAATACATACCAACTTGATTTTATGTGGATGTATATGAATTAACTTGTTGACGAACAGTTGATACCCCGTGAACTCACGCTTGCTGAGTTGGTGTATTGAAGATATTTTGTTCCTAATTAAGACGTTTCATTTCTGAGATGGCGAGAAAAATGATAAGAGACAACACATGACCCAGTCTCTGACGCGGCAGTTAGTCATCGGCTGAACACACAAGAAACGAGGCCAACACCCTTGGCCCCGACATCATTCAGCCATATTTTTACCACAAACGCACAAATGCTGCTACAGGGTTGAGGCTTCTCCGGCCACGAATTTTTCAGCGGCAACATCGGCAACTAAAATCTTTGGCAAAAATATGCCTACGTTTTAATTGATGGAGGAAAAAAAACACAAGATAAATCAATGGTTAGATTTAAATTATACTATACTACTACCACCAAGTGTACTATAAAAGGATCCAAAATTTAAGTTATATATTACAGTATCGAATTACTAAGTCTTGGATAATACTCAACCTTAGGACCTCACTTATACTTGGTATTAAAAAACATCACAAACTTCACTCTGTCACAACTGTGTTTGGCCTACATGACTTTTGAATCACGGAAACAACATATATGTGGGTCCAAGTCCAATTATACTCTCCAATAGAACAGGCGTATGCGTATCCATATCTAACGAGCCGTGGAAGAGAGAACACATGAACGACGAGTGTATCAGCGGAGCAGAGCCCTGATTCCCTGAAGATCCATAAAACCACCCGCATCCAATCAACATGGTGACGGGCTGACGCACTGACGCCGGAGGCCAAAACAAAGAACGAAACCACCACCGCTGTACGACCCGTGCAAACGCACGCTGTCCAGACCAGATTCCAACGGCAAGCAGAGCAGACGCCGAAAAACCAGCTCGATCGTCTCGAAACACCAATCATTTCTATTCATTCCGCTAGTCGCCGAGTCCAACCCCGGTGGCGCCCGGTCGGCGTCCCACGTTTTTCCTCTCTTTTCACCGTCGTCTCGGCCATAAAAAACGCCGCGCGCCTCACAACCCCACCCAAACGTCGTCGGCTCGTCGCCAACACGAAGCGAAAACGAGAAGAAGAAAAAATCCCTCTCCTCGTCGTACGGTCGTCGCGCGTAGTAAGCTCAAGCTCAGTAGGGGAATCGAGGATGTCGTCGTCGTCGTCGACGTCCCCGCGGTTCGGCTCGATGATAAGCGCGAAGCTGGCGTCGCCGCCGCCGTCGCTGCTCCTCCCGCCGTCGCCTCGCCTACAGGGCCGCCGCCTGACGCCGCCCTCGTGCACGCCCGGCACCCCCGCCGCGCTGCCGAGCCCGGGGCCGGACAAGGAGCCGGAGCGGGAGGCGGCGGGGTCGGGGTCCGGGTCGGCCACCACCCCGCGCTCCCCCGCGCAGCTCGGGAGCTCGCAGCTGCACCGGTGGTCGCGGGCCCGCGCGCACCGGTCCGGGCGGCGGCTGGAGTGGCCGACGATACGGGACCGCGGCAGCGGCGGGGCCTCGTCGCCGCCGACCCCGACCAGGCCGCACCCGTCGTCCGACGAGGCGGCGTCCGCGGCGGCGAAGGTCGCGGTGGAGGAGGAGGATGGCTACGGGGTGGTTGGGAGGGACGAGGCGGCGAAGTCGATCTACATGGTGTCCGACGGGACGGGGTGGACGGCGGAGCACTCCGTCAACGCCGCGCTCGGCCAGTTCGAGCACTGCCTCGTCGACCGCGGCTGCGCCGTCAACACACACCTCTTCAACGGGGTAAAGATCCATTTCTTTCTCCTTGTCTCTTTTTTTTTATTATTTTTTTTGCCGCCCTCTATTGACTTGATTCTTCAATTTTTGGGATATATATGGTCTCCACTGTCCAGCCAGATATGTCTGCTTCGTACAATAGTTTAATTTTTTCGTTCTTGCTGGAAAATCATGATATGCCAACATAGTGCATAGAAACTATATCAATTGTTCTGGGAATAAAGGGGATTTTGGATTTTAGCTGTAGATTTGTGCTGTATAACATAAACTGTTATCCTTTACCGATGATCGGTGCACATGTACACTTTATTCTCTCGGACTGGTTGCTGCATACCTGTCCCTTGCCTTGCTGTACATTATCAGGATTGGCTAATTAGGGATTTGAGATACTTGATTTCACTGTTAATTATCAGCATCTAGCTTTCGAAGAACCAGCTGAATCTTCTTTCACAAGCTAGACTATAGTTTAATTGAAAGCATAATTTTATTTGTTATACAACTCTTGGGTTTACTCTGAAAATACAATTGTATAATAAGAGCGATGTTCTGTATATATATGTCTGATTAATCTACACCATAATCAATGGTGTGGAGATAAGTCTCCTGCTTCTTTTCAGCTTGTTTTAATAGCCTTATAGATCAGATTTAGAGTAAGGTCAGTAGCGTGTGAGTACTTGGGATTACTTCACATTATATTTGTTTGAGAATGGAAGAAATAAAATTTATTTCATGCTATCACTACTAGATGATAATGGCTGCTATTAAAATATGCTCGCAGTTAGAAGCACAGGTTGCTTGTGTTCTAACGGAGGAAAGACTTTCCAGTTAGAAGCACAAATTGCTTGTGCTCTAATGGAGGAAAGACTTTCCACATGGAACTTAAGATGAATATTGATGCGGCATACTTTTATTAAATAGTGATGCAGACATTGACATTTTTGTGGATCATGGAGTTGTGTATGGCTAAAAGTTGTGTAAATTGAGAACTGAATGGTTGGTTACTCCTTCATGCACTTCTATTTGTTTCATCGGTGAAAATTTAGTGTTCACTTGTTTGCACGTATCTTAGGACACAGAACAAATGAATACCATAGTACTTTGGATATTCAGGCATGGAGGTGTGCTTATTGCCAATTTGCCATGATCATTGTATGTCTGGTTGAATCACTATTGCACAAAAGGAGTTATTCTGGTTTCCTAGTTTAGAAACCTCGCGTATTAGTCACTGACCCTAATTTGCACTTGCATTGACTGATAAATGAAGCTAGCTGTGTAGTTTTCTTGATATTGATTATTTTGTCTTTTGCTACAAATTTGCTTTAGATTGATGACATGGATAGACTTATTGAGATAGTAAAGCAAGCAGCAAAAGAAGGAGCACTGGTTTTATATACTCTTGCTGATCCTTCAATGGCTGAGGCAACTAAGAAGGCCTGTGAGCTTTGGGGTGTTCCATCCAATGATATTCTTCGTCCTACTATTGAAGCCATAGCTTCCCATATTGGTGTTGCTCCATCTGGAATTCCACGAAGTTCTCCTAGCCGGAAGGGTCAACTTACTGAGGATTACTTCCGACGAATTGAAGCTATTGATTTTACCATCAAACAAGATGACGGTGCTCAGCCACAGAACCTTAACCGTGCACACATTGTACTTGTTGGTGTTTCACGTACTGGAAAGACACCATTGTCAATATATCTGGCTCAAAAAGGGTATAAAGTGGCAAATGTTCCAATTGTAATGGGAGTGAATCTTCCAAAGTCCCTTTTTGAGATTGATCAAGACAAGATTTTTGGATTGACAATAAACCCTGTGGTTCTTCAAGCAATCAGGAAGGCAAGGGCCAAAACTCTAGGATTTCATGGGCAAAAAAGCAATTATGCTGAAATGGAACATGTCAGGGGGGAGTTGGATCATGCCAATCAAATTTTCGCCCAGCATCCTATATGGCCAGTCATCGGTACGATCAATTTAATTGTCTTTGTGGAAACACTTTTCTTTGTACTTTCATATGTTGAAGTGTAGTTTGTTTTGTGTTTGTGCAGAAGTCACTGGAAAAGCTATAGAGGAAACAGCTGCTGTCGTTGTGAGGATATTCCATGATAGGAAACAGAAGTGCGCCATGCCACGCATATCAAAACGGTACTAGCACCACGTTCTATCTCTTCTGCGTCTTGTAAAGTACATGTGTTTTGATAAATGTCAAGAGTACCTTAGCCCGCACTTATTTTTATTAACTCTTAATTTGTGTTACCACCTTCTAGGTGGCTTCTGTATCTAAATGAATAAGGCATAGTGCACAGCAAATAAATGTATATTTCATTGTCTGAGTTATTCAACAGCAGAAATTGTTTTGGTCATAAGTTCATTGCTAATTAATCAGGTAAAACACTAGGTTGCACTGTCCAAAATTTGCCAGATAAACTAGACTCATAATGCTTTCAGAGAAATAAGTAGCCATCAGTAAATATGTTTACATGTGGACAAGATATAGATATCCTCCATGACGAATTTCATTGTGATGTCTTCTAGTTTTGACCACTAGGATCTTTTGTTGAAGAATCACTCTTGGATTAGACAGGAGGGATTTTTAGAAGTTGCCGAAAGTGGGTCTAGTTTCCAATTAGGACACTTGAAAGTTGAAACTAACCTGTGCTACTTTCACTCTTCTTTTTCTTCTTTCTGTTGTTTATTTCCCTATCATTTTTCTGACACATGTTGCATTCATTCCGGTGGGTGTTATTGTTTGGAGTGACATCTATTTTGTGGCTGCTTTTCGCACTACGCAAATTATCTTGTGGATATGTGGTTGTAAGTACCAGAATGGAGCTCTGGTAAGATGTGCTTCAACCAATATTGTAGTTTGTCTGCTAGACCAGGGCCATCCTGAACCATACCTCCAGTCACTGAAGTCTGGTTGAGCTGATCAGAAATCTGGTTAGATGGAAATTGCAGCAGCAGCTCAAGGGGAAAATGTTCCAAAGATATAGTCCTTGTTGCACACTTGATACTATGTTTGCGTCTGATAAAAAGTGGGAATAAATTCACAATTCAGTCTTTTCAAATGGCAAACTACATACGTTTATCATCTATTTCCTGAGTAGTATGTAATGGCAGCTGTGGCTGTCAATCAACTGCATGGTTGCATCCTGAAAAATGCCGGATATAGTCATTGTTATTTTCATTGTGTTGAAAAATCTTCTGAAAAAAAAGCGTTCATTTTAGGTTGCTAAGGTAGGTGTCCTGAATTTGTCTGCATTGAGCTGAATATCTTAAGAAATCTGTTTCTGTTCTTGCAGGGTGGCTCCAATTAGAATCTACGATTATCTGTCAGAGATGGTTAACACTCACGTTGAGTATCAAAAGATTTTTGCTAGGGACTTTTAAGTCTATTCTGCAGCTGTGAAGTGAATCCAAAAGTCTAAAAAACTACCCACTATCCGGCATTTTTCACGTGTCCCATATTAGGTTAGCATCACCTGTGCATAGAGAGGGTTTTAATTCATTTTGTAGATCATCACCACCTTGTGAGCTGTGTGTCATATTCTTTGTTCGTTCGTTTAACTCTTTGTTGAAGTCATGTACTACCACTCTTACGGAAATGACATATGAGTAAAAGACAATTCTTTCAAATACATCTGTGTCCATTTGTATTTTTGATTGTTTGTGTGTCTGCAACAACATCAAGGATGAAAAATCTAGTATCATCGCTTCAAAGCGACATGTATGATGTACCCCTTTTTATGCAAAAAAAAGAAGAGAAAAATAACTGAAGAAATCATGACAGCAACAGAGAAGAGAATGCAACTACCATCGCATACTTCACCATCAGACCCCATTCAGCCTGATCTCTTCACTGCCATTCACTCTATATTCTTCCTTGACCCTTAGAAGAGCATCAGTTTTTTTGATGCCTGGGTCTTTGTAGCAACATCATGCCTCCTTTACAGATTGCATTGAGGTTTGAGAACAAAACGAAAATTTTTCTTCAGTTTCAACAGCCGGCGTTTCACCGAGCATCGCTGCTGCCGCCGCCGCCGCTGTCGCCGCCCATCTTGCTCATGGAGAGTGTGAAGTAAAGCAGGATCAACGTTCCAACGCTTGACCTGCAGAAAAGCAGAAAACCTACATGAGCATTCACCATCTCTGAAGAGTGCAGTACTGATGAATGAAACGATTTCGTAAATTCAGAGTTCTACCTACAAGATCAACCAAACCAAACCAAAAAAAGGAGGGTTGATAAATGTGACGATGGCCGCTCCATTATCTGACTTACCGAATAGGTACACATTGATAAATCGCTCGATAACTAGTCAAGTTGAATAAAAAAATCAAACCAGAAGTCAAACTTTTTGGTAAAATTGTTCAACTTTATACTGTTTTCGTCAGTAAGGTTGAGTTTGCTAAAATTGTTCACCTCCATACTTAGGAACTACACCTTCTCGCACGAAAACAGTGTTACCCATTAATACGTGATTAATTAAGTGTTAATATAAGAAAATTTGAAATATAGATTAATATTATTTTTTAAGTAATTTTCTTATAATTCTTTTTTAAAAAACACATCATTCCATAACATGAGTGTGGAAAAAAAAAGGGTGAGTTGGCAAAGAAGGGGAAAGAACACATGTAACCAAGGGGTTATCACAGTTATCAACAAAATCGCTCGGAAGCAGTATTCAGTGACTTTTAAAGGTTCAGTAAACCTTGTCCAAAAGTCACTCAAAAAATGAAGGATTTTCTTTTCTAAAGCAAGGGTCATCATACTGTACACGAGAACGGTTGTTCGTCAGTCGCCGTCTTTTCTCCCGTATATCGCTGTAGCCAAACCGGAGCTGACAACTAAAACTAGTTCTGACACGTAGACTCGCCAACGAGAAACCCGGCCGCTCTTTGTGCTGCAAACTCCTGCACGCATCACCCATTCATTCATCCACCGGTCGCAGCGAACCTACTACGATCTGAAAAGGCTGCAGATTAATGCAGCCGCTAATACGAGGCCATGTTCCACATTTTTTTTGCGTTGTTGGGGACAACAGGACAATTAAACTCTTGTGCCCTACGGTTTAGGAAATTCGTCAATTATTTTTCTTTAAGTACCACGGTTTTCGCCTAATCACTAGCAAGAAATTAGCAAGAGTGTACTTGTAGCAGCTCAAAAGAAATGGTTCTACTTCTAGCTATTGGGAAACTGCACAACTCGTAAATATTTTATTCAGATATTTACCGTTTTGAACTTATTCTTTTTCTTATACTATCAGTATTATCACTTGTAAATGATTAGAGCAAGTACTATGGACTTCTTAGCTCTTGCATCAAGATACTATGAGATACTATGGATCACATGATGAGGTGGAAAAGATAAGTGGAAAAGAGAAGGGAAAAAAAGGAGAAGTCATCCGGACAAATTCTATACAAACTTACAGAGAAATAAGAGAAACAGACCAATGAATTAAGTGAAAACAAATAAAGAAAGAAATATTATGGTAAATTGGAGCAAGTGTATTAGAGATAATTTGTTGTATTAATTAATAATAAGTAAATGACGTGAACAAAATTAGAGATGAGTATCACCTCTGCTATAAAATTTGCTATAAGTGGCTATTGCCAGTTGACTTACAGTGTGGCGAAGAAGAAGACCACCCTCCGGGGATCGAGCCACGGCGCCGCCGGCTGCCGCCCGAGCCGCCGGGACTTCCCTCCCGGCGTGCCGGCCACCGGCGTGTGGACGAGCCGGCCGAGGCCGCCCATGTCGTCGGCGGCCGCCACATGCACGAAGAGCGGCGACAGCGGCGGCCTCTTGCCTGTCCCTGCACATGAGAGTGCCAAAAGTCACACACGGCCTCGATTAATCCTGACCCGTACGTAAACTAATTCGCCATAGGTGTCACTTGTCAGCTTGGATTACTAGCTAAATCCTGTGACAAGGTAACCGATCTGTCACTGTCAGGATCGAATTGAGTATTACAAAATCTCCATGGAATTGAAAAAAAAAACCCAACAAATGCCAAGCGAAAATAGAAAACTCTGAAGATATTGATATCAAAAGTGATGAAATCTTTGATTGGATGAGATTTATAGGTGGACTGACCGGCGGCGCCATTGCCGTCGCCGTCGGCCGGCTTCCTTTCCCCCTTCCTCGACAGCGACCTCACCACCTTCTGTTGCGTCGCGTCCGCGGCATAACCACACAAAGAGGAAAGAATCAATCAAATCTTTGGAAACGAACGGAAGAAACGGAGGCTCGTATGTATGTACAATTGTACATCGCCGACGTCGCCATCGCCGCGCGCGCTCGCGTCTATCCAACTTACCGGTGTCCGTGGTGGCGCCGCCGTGGTGTCCGGGCCGTCGCCGGCGAGCGAGGAGAGGGCGCTGACGTCGAGGGCGATGAACCCGCCGCCGCCGACTGCTCCCGCGCCGGCGCCGGCGTCCAAGTTCGATTGGCCAAGATCGCTCGCCGCAAGAACCTGCAAACACCCAACAAAAAAATTCAGCAAAAAACACACAAAGCAAAATCCTCCATCCTTTCCAGTAAACACAAGGTCAAAAAACTCGTTCACCTCTCGCAATTAATCAGGACGAAGAACCACACAAAGCAAAACGGCAAAAACCAAGATGAACTTACAGGTTGGTTGGAGGCGGCGTCGCCCATGGTCGCGTGCTGCTGCTGCTTCTGATGATTCCTTTGCGTCTTCTCTTTTGTTGTATCCGGGGCTTCGGTTAGTTCGTTGGGAAGTGGTAATAGGAACAATGGAATACTACCAAAACGAGGAACCGGAGGGAAAAGCACTGCCACTTTGCTCTTTTTGAAGGGCAAAAAGATTCTATCTCACACGGGCACACTCAATCTGCCGCGAGCAAATGGAGAGCAGAGGAGAGGATGGGGAATGGGAGAGAACAGGTTATTTATACATGATGGATTTTTCACAGAAGCCCATGGTAGTTATATGGAAATTACAAAATGTTTCCATGTACTCCATCATAAGATATTCATTTTGGAGGAATTTTAACACATATGAATAGGAAAGTGGAGGAATAAGAATGCCACACTTTAATTCATAGGAATTTTTCAAGATGTTTGAGTGGATGAAAAATTTGCTATGTTTTGTCTATAGGGAAAGAAAATTTTCATTTGGTTTTTCTATATCTACTACCTATGCCCCATAATAATTGTATTTCTAGGATTTGAATCTGTCCTAAATAGTTGTCACTGTAAAGTACCAATGGTCCCATTAATCACTTCTCACTCAAATTTCTCTCTGTTTTACCCTTAACTACCCTCTCACTCTTACCTATACATCATTTAATAAGGGCATTATAGTCTTTCTTATAAAATCTTAATATATGCTAAACAAACTAGAATTACTTTTTTTTTGGGACGGATGTAGTATATTCCTATGAACCGAATGATACTCATAAGAGTTAATTCTTAGGAACCCAAATCTTTTGGTTTTTCTTCAAAATGAATAGACCCTTAAAATATATACCCCTCTAAGTTCTTCACAAAGATTAAGGAGGAACAAAAATTAAATTCGGAACGGTTATGAGAAATTTTAAACATATTTGGAAATAGACCGAGTAGAAAGATTTAGCATAGAAGCTCAAGGTTTGTCCGGCGTCTTTTTTCCCGTGGCTGCCCATACTGCGAAAGGATATGATTGAAGCAACAGGAATGACTTTTTTAAGACAAAACCTTTTTATAGAAATTTAGAAGTTGAGATTAAGCGAAGAAAGTGAAAAAAAAGTAAAGTAATCCTGAAATTTAAAATTGGTTATAACTTATAACCTGTAGCTTATCCCAATTTCATTTTGAGAGGCTAATACTCCTACCTTACTAAATTAAGCAAGAAATGAATATTTACCTCAAAATGTTTTAGTGAAGCATATACGATGTTATTCGTATGAAACATTGTATACTCAGATGGTTTCCAAGACGTTGGAAAGTAATTTTAGATCTGCAAATTCCAATGTTTCTTGGGGACTGATCTATTAAAAGAGTCAAAAGAGATAATGCACTTATTTTTATGGGTCCGAGGGCGTTATCGGGAGAAAACATTTGGCACTTTTGGCAGGCAAATATCCTCAGGCATTCGATGGCTACCACTTTTCCAGTTTGCCTGCCATCACTTTTTCTTCAGCAAGCGTGTGAGTATTTTCCCCAAACCCACCAATTTCCCCTTTTCTTTTCTCTCACTTTTCCAAGATGCAAAAGCAAAGGAATATTTGATTAATAGGAAAAAATAAGTACATTATGGATATAAAACACCACAGTCAAGTATTCGAAATAGAGAAAAATAAATTAAGCATACACAGATGCATTTTTCAATAAAACTTTTCAGTAAGGTTAAAGAGTCGTCGTTAATCTCTATCTCTTTTTAACCATGTGATAGGAGACACATTCTTCGATGTGCCATGTGTATAATGGTGTGTGCACTTATGTGTTTTCCCTTTGATAAATGAAATAATGCATGTCTGTATCTACTGGCTAAATTGGTTTGAATACAGTTAGTTTTCTTTATATAAAAATGCACTCTCTAGGACACTGCAATGTCCTCTTCATGGATTAGCACAGGGCAGCTTTGGACATGGATTAGGAGGTGACCATATTTAAGAAAATTATTTGAGGAAATTAATTAGATTGACATGCAAAATTGATACTCTCCCGTTCTTTTCTCTTTTTTCTAATTTAGATGTAGATTTTTCATTGTTTTTCGTTAGCATGTTTTTCAAACTGCTAAAATACGCGTCTTATACGAAAACTTAAAAGTTACTTTAAAATATAAAATAAATCTATTTTTCACGTTTGAAATAATTAAAACTCAATTAATTATATGCTAACGACTTTATCATTTACGGGCATGGACTTCATCTCCATCTTAATAAAAAAAGAAACACCTATATGCCTATATCATCGTTCCAGCGAATGAAGTAAAACCGTGGCCGAGACCTACATGCGCATTTACCAATTCATGTACTAACCAGAGGAGTATGCTAGGATTGCAATGTTTCTTCCTTGCCGCACGCTTGATCAGTTGATCTTTGCTCTGGTCTGACAGGCTTGGTTGTATTCTCAGGCGTGCGTTCCCTGAAGAAGAGGGGAGAATGTTTACGTTCACTGCACTTGCGGATTTGGTGGGGGCCATTCTATGGCACCCAATAGATCCACCATGGTGCAGTGGCGCTCTCTACTTGGCCATTCCGATAGCGAAATGATCATGAAGGGTAATCTTATCCCCATCACTAGCTAGCTTTCTGATAGCCTCCATTGCATTTTATTAATATATAGTACAATATCCTAAAATACCTGCATTTTATTTCTTTTTCTCCCCTGGCTTCAAAAGCTAATTAATATGTGCACTTTTTGTTAACTTGTTAGGACCAATACCAGGCATGTTATGCTCGTAGCAGCAATTAATCTCAGCATCTCTTGCGGCACTCATCACGGGGACTAGTGCCTCACAGGTTAATTACAGGCCGGGAACAATGGTGTGTGCTTTACAACTGTAAGATCGAACTGACGACAGCACAGCTAAAATCCACGAGTTAGCTAGCTGCGTACATACATACTCCCTCTCATTTTAATAAATATCATCGTTAACTTTTAAACAAATGTTTCACCATTCATCTTATTAAAAATTTTATATAAATATATAAAATATAAATCATGCTTAAAGTACTTTAAATGATAAAACAACTCATAACAAAATAAATTATAATTACGTAAATTTTTTAAATAAGACGAATGATAAAACGTGTGACAAAAGTCAGCGGTATAATGTATTAAAAAACGGAGGTATTATATAATTATTTACTGTATATGATACTATGATAATAAACATATGCTTAATCAAGTAGTAGTGGATCGGAATGTATGAGATGCACATGCGTACGGGGCCACAGCGCGCGTGATCTTAGCGTATAAACTTCGCCGCATCTTGTGGCTGGACTGAGAGGCCTCTGGCCTTTGACTTCTCTTGCAGTTCAGCCCAGTTTAGTTCAGTTCTGTGACAGTGTGATACGCAGTTCAGTTCAGGGAGGAAGAGAAGAGGAAAGCGCAAATGGAAGCTATCGATCTGTATCGTCTGTCACGTACGGGTTAATCATTGCCAGATAGGCGACCTCGATCTGATCAGGATTCATGGAGATTATTGATTCTGAAGATGAGATATAAAAATATTCAGGGATCTCTTGATCCATCCGAGGGATGTGGACAAACAGAAGTAGTCTGTACAAAACTCTGCTGAAAGCCAACACATATCTTCATCTTCTTCATTAATTTATATGGAATTACATATCGCCGGCCTCTGTATTGGAAGGAATTAAATTTCAGCAGCTGAAATGCCTGTATCTTCTGCTGCTTTGACATGTCATCAGGATATGGATAAAGGTGAGCTTACACCATAGGAAAGAATTGATTTTGGAACTCTTTTGAGGCGATGTGCATGGACAATTACGTCAGTGGATTAAGCTAGCATGCAGATCGAGCAAGTAATCTTTCACCGTTAATTTGTTTTCATATGCATTAATGCATGGCTGCTGTCACTTTCTGACCTTTTCTCCTCTTATCTAAACCATGAGGTGCCATCTTTTGGAGATCACATAATCACATTCTCTTGGACTATCGTCATATTCTGGAATCAATCCCAGTATCTTCGGCTTAAAGCTGACTCATCACCGTTTACCTCATACTAGTATAGGATTCTTGATTATATAGTGTTATCACATCACCATTTCCAAGAATTAATATGATTGCTTACATGATGGCCTTCCTTGCAAAACAAAAGGTAGGACTACTCCCTCCGTCCCAAAAAAAGACAAACCCTAGGTTTCCGTGTCCAATGTTTGACCGTCCGTCTTATTTGAAAAAATTATGAAAAAAAAATAAAAAGACAAGTCACGCATAAAATATTAATCATGTTTTATCATCTAACAACAATGAAAATAATAATTATAAAAAAATTTCATATAAGACGGACAATCAAACGTTGGACATGGAAATCCAGGGTTTGTCGTTTTTTTTTTTTTGACGGAGGGAGTACGTGGAGAAGTCACTCGTAGAAACGTGTGCAACAAAAATAATTCCAACTCCACAGAGCCAGTCTATGGGTCTCTAAGCACATTCAGCACATCAACAGCTCTGTTTGAGGTTTCATCTGCAGTACACCACCAGTTCACCAAAGAATAAATTGAAGGCCAGTTAACCTCACAATCTGGTATAATAGCTTGGATTCAAAGTGTAATAGCTTGGATTCAAAGGGTCTGTTTGGGGGAGTTTTTAGATTCTGAGAAGCAGCTGTTTGGTAGCCAGCTTCTGAGAATCTAGAAAAGCTCTGAAACCCAGCTTCTCCAGCTTCTGGGTTCTTAGTTCATTTTTCAGAATTTGTAATTACAGATTCTCAGAAGATGTGGACTGTTTAGGGCAGCTTCTAGCAGAAGCAGCTTTTGGGAAAAGCTGCAGCTGGGACAAGCTCCCCCAAACAGGATCAAAGTGTAGTAGTAAAAATATATGCTAAACTCATTATTCAAGAGTGGTAGCGATTATTTTCAGCAAGGATGAAAGAATAGCGTAAACAAATTAAACGACTTGAAATTTCTGGAGTAATTCGCATTTGAAGGAGTTGAGAAGACTAAAGTAACTCATGTTTAGAACCAGAGGGAGTAGTAAAATCAGTAATAATAAGCCAAGTTTTTTCCGATCATTGTCCACTCAAAAAAAAAAGTTTTTTCCAATCATTGCTTTACCTCTTGGTACTTCCAGTCCATTTTGGAGCTAAGAGCAAGTTCAATAGTATAGCCAACTGCTGGCTTCAAATCATCTATAGCCAATCTAATAGCCTATTCATACAATAGTTATCTATAAAAATATACTACATCATTAATATCTGGTCCTACCTCTCATACACTCATAACGTATTGGAGTTCGTGTTGCAGCCGGCTACAAATCTGTAGCCCGCTTTCTTCTCTCTCTTCTCTTTTCTACTCGATATGTGGTTATAGCTGGCTTATAACCTGCTATTGTACCTGCTCTAAGGATTTTTCTTGGATTTTCGCAGAGATAAGAGACTGTTTCCAAGGTCATTTCCTGAAACAGGCCACACAGAACACAGTGACACAGATCAGACTCCATTACTTTCATGTGCTACACACACAGGGTTACCTGGCATATGTAGCAGTGAGCAGTGACTGTTTACCAAGTAAACGGCCGGTGTCCTCCAACGAATCCAAGTGCTCCACTATGGCCGTATGGAGACAATTCAGAATTCGACCGGCCAGAAAGGTTCAGAGAATCTGAAATTGCAGGTCGACTGATAAAACCAACGCCTGGGCGATCGAGGTATGCTCATGGTGCCTTTCTTCCATGGCGCTTTTCGTGCAGCACGATAAGAGCAAGTTTAATAGTGTAGCCAACTACTAGCTCCAGATTATCTATAGCCAATTCATTCAATAGTTGCTTACTATACTATTAATACCTGGTCCTACCTGTCGTACACACAATACGTTTTGGAGTCCGTGCTGCAGCTGGCTACAGATCTGTAGCCCGCTGCTCTTCTCTCTCTTCCTTTATCTCTTTAAATTATGTTTATAGTTGGCTTATAGCCTGCTATTGTACCTGCTCTAAGAGCAAGGTCAATAGTGCAGCCCACTACTAGCTCCAAATCTTCTATAGCCAATGTAATAGCCAATTCATACAATAGTTGCTTACTATACTATTAATACTTGGTCCCACCTGTCATACACATATTACGTCTTGTAGTCCGTGCTGCAGCTGGCTACAGATCTGTAGCCCGCTGCTCTTCTCTGTCTTCCTTTATCTCTTTAAAATATGTTTATAGCTGGCTTATAGCCTGCTATTGTACCTGCTCTAACGAAACCGATCAACGAGCACGAAATGAATGGCACTTTTGCAGTGCTTTCTGATCTCTTTCTTTATCATGGAGCCAAAAAAAACCCCAAAAGGGATTGATCTCAAGTGGTCGTTTCAACTCTGAATAATAACGTGCACCAAAGAGGGTGGTAGAGCAGCAGTATCTATATAATTCTTAATTCTCGTGTTCATCATGCTACTAGCTAGCTGCTCTTTTATGTCCATGGCTGAGAACTGGGTGGGGTGTGAGGAAATCGATTGTGACACCACTATCTATCACCATGTGGCATGATAAGAGTGCCCTTGCTCCAACTGCACTAAGCTTTATTCAGTCGGAAAAAAGAATGGGCACTTCATAGAAAATGAAAGAAAATAGAAGTGGCCTAAGAGCAGAGAGATATATAGGACCAGTTTGGCTGGGCCCCTAAGCTTGCCCGACGAAAATTGGTGAGTGAAATCCCCTTCACTAGTGGAGTACAGGAACTGAAAATTACTTGGGAGTTCAGGAACTGCAAATTACTGTGGAAGTGAGAAGAATGGGGTTAAATCCATGTTCATCCACATCAGTCTTCATCACCTGGAAGATTTGGAAAGAAAGGGGACGATAGAGTGTTCCGTGATGAGGAATCCACAACGGCACGCATCATTGACCGGATCACGAAGAAACTTGGGCATGGTAAACAGGAGGTTAAAAGGACTGGCAAGCCTACTAACCGGCGATGACGAGGATATTTGATATTTGATTCCTGAGTAATCGCAGTAATATGTTGCAACTTTATTTTGGCAGGAGCGTGCCAAGAAGACTGACTCCTTCTTGTTATTATGTAGTCTTTGCTTTCTTCTAGTATGATATAATCCCAACCAAATGTTGGTCAGTTTCGAAAAGAAAAATGGAGCCTGAGTTACTTGAAATTTTGATCAGATGACTGATTTTGCTATTATCTACTTGTCATTTTTTTTCCCAACCATTAGATCACCATACGAGAAAAAGAAAAGAAAGATACTATGTAGAAACTTTGGATCAGATTAATCAATAGTACTCAAACTTTGGTGGTGGAGGGAGGATACGTGTTTCTCAAACAGCTCTGTTGGCAATTCCTTCCTGTAATTTAAAAAGATAAATAAAACCAACTTGGTATCTCGAGAAACTTACATAAAGGCGTTTCAAGGCATCCGAATTATTCATAACAGATATCTGCATAGATAATCGAATAATAATGGTTATGAGCTCTAAAAGGAAAAAATAAAATGGAAGAACTCAAGAACATATGCTAAGCGTTAGTTTCAGAATACAGAAGGGAAAATAAAATGGAAGCATGATGCTTGCCCACTGTGCCAATATCCAAATTAATCAAACACACATTTCAAAGCTAATGAGATGCACTCAGTAATCATCCTTTGAACTGAATCCTACTGATGAACTGATGACCACTTAACCTACCATATGCTGTGTGTCTTTCTGGCTCCAGTCTTCGCACAGGCAAAGTTTACATCTTCTGAAAAGGCTGCATCTCCCCGTCGAACTGGAAATCCTAGATACTGATCATCGCTATCACCCTCTCCGCCGCCACCTACACCTATTCCCCAAAACCAGATTTCCCCATCTCCGTCACGCATTGCCCCCCTTCTCCTTCTGTATTAGCCCTCCGATCCGTCTGTCCGGAGAGGGGTTTGGAGAGGCAGAAAGATGGCCCGAACAGAGAACGAAGCATACCTGGGTACTGCGTACAGATCGCTAACCTGGGATCACCAGGTGGAGGAGCGCGGCGGTCGTCGTCGGCGGCGGCGGTGTGCGGAGCGGGAGCGTGGCCGGTCGATGGCAGAGAAGGATGGTGAAATCATAGGCCGGGCCGGGTTGGGTAGGAAGGGTCTTCCAAGTCAAAGCCCATTAAACTTTATAGGCCCAGGTTGACGTATGCACTTGCCTGCTCAAAGTTTTTTGATGGGCCGGGCCGAGATATTTTGGAACCTTACGATCCGAACTTTTACGAAATAAGTTCATCTAAGGTCCCTTAACTTATCAACAAATCCGATTTTTGTCCTTCAACTAGAAAACCAGATACAACGGGTCCCTCAAATATCAAAACCGGTACAATATATATGTCCCAAGACGGTTTGGATGACAGTTTTAGCTGACATGGCGCCTACGTGGCTAATTTGACTCGGTCTTCATATAACGTAGCTTTGACATGGTGCTTGTGTGGCAATTTGATTTAGAAAATAATAAAAATTGTAACCCCACATGTCAGTTACACCAAAAAAGTTAATAAAAAATGGTGGGGGCGACGTGAAACCCACATGCCATTCTCACCCTATCTCTTCTTCCTCCTCTCTCCCCATCTCCCGTTTCTTCAAGCGGCGGCGCGAGGGTGGCGGGCTTAAGCAGCAACGCTGTGGCGGCAGACTCACAGCAGGACGCCTCCTAGTTAGCGGCGGCGGCGGAGGCGAGCGGTCACGCTGGCGGCGGGGGAGCGAGGAAGTCCGATGCCGGAGCCGAAGCTGGAGTCCGAGACCAACACCGCCTCCCCCGCTCGCGCCCCCCTCAGCAGCCTTGTCGTCAAGCCCTCGCCGCGCAAGGGGAACGACGCCTCCTCCTCCTCGGATGCCGCCGTGGCAGCGGCGTGCTCATCCCCGACCCCCGCCACCAGTGCCGAGATCGACGCCGACACCGTGCTGCAGCAACCGCCGCCACCTTCCCCCACTTGCGCCCCCCTCATCAACAGCCTTATTGTCAAGCCCTCGCCGCGCGAAGGGAACAACGCCTCCTCCTCCTTGTCCCTGACCCTGTAGAATCAAGATGTCGACAAGAAGGGGGGGGGTGAACAAGCGATTTAAAACTAAACGACACATAATTAAAACTAACCTAAGTTGCTAGGCTTGGTGAGGTACAAAGTTAATTACGCAACTAAGTTATGTTTTGTAAACCTAAGGTGATATGAGCTCAAATATGTCTATGTGAAAGTAAATTGCACACCTAAGTTAAGTTTTGCAATCCTAGGGTGATATGGGCTCAAATATGTCTCTATTAAAGTAAATTGCACAAATGTAAATGCAATAAGTAAATGAGACAAGAGACAAGGAGTTTATCACCCAAGGTTCAGAAACTCGCCGGTTTTCTAGGCGAGCCCAACTTCACCGTTCAAAACCACGAAGCCACCTCAAGCCCTCTTCGTCAAGGGGTGGGCAAGGAGGGAGTCAGCCCACGAAGTGGACTACCCAAGCCTTGATCACTAAGGGTAGTTCTTCATTCACTCCGAAGGTGGTGAACTCCAAACCACTCACAACAGGCGCCGGGCCTTCTGCACAATCTCCTTGGAGAGGTTACCGGGAAACACCTTCACGAGCCGTTTAGGAGGTGGCAACCTCCAAGAGTAACAAGCGATGACCTGGCTTGGAGATGATCAAGTGCCACACTAGCTCTATAATGAAGCAAACGCACTTGACTCTTGGCTAATCAACCCTCAATCACACCAAATAGATGAACACAAGCACTGGAGTGGGTGAGAGAGTGTGCAAGGGATGTATGTAAGTGAAGCAAGTGCCAAGAGAGCCCCTTTGTTGTTGGTGGGGGAGTATTTATACTCCCACTCACAAAACTAGCCGTTTGGGGTCAAAATCCCCAACTAAGTGCACTTCCGGTCAGACCTGACTACTTTACAACGGCTAGAAAACTAGCCGTTGCAATGCATTAAATGCACTGAGACACGGGGACTGATCAGACAGCCATAGAGCGGCCGGTCAGACCGGCCAAGGCTCAGTCAGACCGCTGCTGGCTCGGTCTGACCAGCTGCGGCTCTGGCGGCTCGGGTTTTTCACCCAGAGGCCGACCAGCATGATGTCATCGGTCAGACCGCCGTGTTTTCCGTCAATAGAACTTCACCAAGTCGAGCACTCCTAGGGCGCCATTAGCGATGGGGGAGTAGGTTTTTGTCGAGTTGACCTTGATTTTCCTCTCATAAGGTTTTCACATCCCGCCCGGAGGAAATAATGCTTGCACTGCTTGTCTAGGACCTCCAGTGACTCGTTGTGCACTTCTAGCACGGTTAGGAGGTATACCGGTTGCGAGGAGAGAACCGGTTGCACGAATGTAATTCTCCCGGCGATTCCCATGTTCCAGCCTCTCTAGGCGGCCAAGCGCCCGACAGACTTATCAAAGAGGGGGTGGAGTAATCAAATATTTATATATATGCCTGTAACGGTAAGCAGTTCCTAACTAACTTTATGCCATTCTTCCATCTTATTTCTTTCCGTGTGAGAATTATTGAGTTAATCCTAAACAAAATGCTTTGACAATCAGCTCGATGTTAATAAACAAATATTTATATGTAAGAATGCACAACCATAATCACTGTACGCTCGACAGGTATAATAAAAATCATTTCCAAGTGATGACATTTGTGTACCCCCAATTATGCAAGTTCTATGAAACTAGCAATTTGGCACCCCGAAAGAAAGAATACATCATATTCAATTACCTCGATGTACGATAGTACTTGGTTTGGTTCCAACAGCTAGCTAGCCCGTACTTTACTGAAGATACTCCAGCCTCGATCCATTTGTGATTTGTCAACGTATCTACTGCCTATATAAGCTGCAACATAGTAGTGCTCGATCGATCCTGCATCGATTAGCACAAATTTCTGGGGGGCATATATATAACTCAGGAATTGAAGCCCCCTGATGATGGCAGCAATCTTTGTCGTGTTAGTAGCAGCAGCAGCAGCAGCTCTCGTCTCGTCCAGCGCTGCGCAGGCACAGCTCAAAGTTGGGTATTACGGGGACACATGCAACGGCGCAGAAGAGACCGTGAGGCAGGAGGTTGCATCTGTTCTATCCGTGGCGCCGTATCTCGCCGGCGCTCTCCTGAGGCTCCATTTCCACGACTGCTTCGTCAGGGTGAGTAGATACTGAGTTCAGAGATTGTAGATGAGTAGTAGTGCTTATGCAGTGGTGTTGATATGTGTCAATGTACTCATGTGTGTGCTTGTGATATAAGCAGGGATGCGACGGGTCGATCCTGTTGGACTCGGTGGCCGGCGGCGCCGTCGACGCCGAGAAAGAAGCTGAAACGAGTGCAGGCCTGAGAGGGTTCGACGTCATCGACAGCATCAAGGAGAAGCTGGAGCAGGCTTGTCCTGGGACTGTTTCGTGTGCTGACATCCTCGCCCTTGCCGCCAGGGACGCTGTTCATTGGGTAACTCAGCTATCTTGATGCGACTCAATATCTCAGTTGTTGTGGGACACATTTCGAGCTTAAGGGCATGTTCACTTTGATGTTAAAAAAAACCTTACCAAATTTTAGCATAACTGTCAAAATTTTGGCAACTTACCAAAATTTTGGTAGGATTTCTTAGATAGTTACCAAATTTTGGTAGCAAACTAAATGTAGCCATTTTTTTTAAGTAACTTTACCAAAATTTAGTAATGTTGAAAATAACATTAAAGTGAACAGGCCCTAAACCACAATTACCGGCCATTTCCATCCTGCATGCATGCGGCATACAACATCGGGGAAAAAAAAAATCCTATAAGGCCATTTCTCTGTTAAAGCTGGCCTAATCAGAAAACGCAGAACTAAAATCTGAAAGCACTCGAGTTTATAGCAACGGCTATGAGATGGAGTACATACAAATATGATGCAACTAAATATAATTTTGTGCACTCCTAATTCAGAGTAATGGCCCGTTTTGGCCTGTACCAACTGGGCGGCTCGATGGAAAAATATCGAACGCCGCCGAGACGGTTGATCTCCCGCCACCAAATTCAGGCATGGCACAGCTGCAAGCAGCGTTCGCCCATAAGAACTTGACTGCCAAGGATCTCGTCGTCCTATCGGGTGCAGCTCCGCCACAAGATATCATCAATTATCATCAGATCGACTGCGGCAATCATCGATCTTAATTACTTAACGTGACCATTCTAGGTGCGCACACCATCGGCTTCTCGCACTGCCAGCCGTTCCACGACCGCCTCTACAACTACACCGGCGGGAACAGGCTCAACGACGTCGACCCGGAGCTCGACCCGGCCTACCTCAACGAGCTCCGGTCCAAGTGCGGCGCCGCTGCCAGTGCCACTGCCAACGCCGACAACCCGGGGGTCATGGTGGAGATCTCCCCCAAGAGATCGCCCAAGTTCGACACGGGCTACTACACGCAGGTCGCGCGGCGCCGCGGGCTGTTCCGGTCCGACGCCGTGCTGCTCGACGACGACTTCACCGGAGCCTACGTCAAGAAGCACGCGACGGGGCTCTTTGACATGGAGTTCTTCGGTGACTTCGGCGAGGCCATGGTGAATATGGGGAACCTCCAGCCGCCGCCGGGGAATGATGGCGAGGTCCGGAGGAAGTGCTCCGTCGTCAATTACTAGGAATATAATTAACGTGCATATCTTTGGTCCGGTGAAAGCCTGGACATATATGAGTCCTGTGTGGGGTGTGTGTGATTTTCTTTCTTACTAGTATGGTTTGCTTTGGATCACCCTTTAACAAATCAGTACTATATACTCCCTCCGTTTCACAATATTGTAAGTCATTCTATCATTTCTCATATTCATACTGATGTTAATGAATCTAGACATATATATTTATCTAGATTCATTAACAACAATATGAATGTGGGAAATAGTAGAATGACTTACATTGTGAAACGGAGGAAGTATGTGGTAGAGATCTCTGCATTTTAGAAGTTTTTTTTACTGTTTGTCATCTTCTCAATTGTGCATTCTCAAATAACACTATTTGCCATCCGGGTCTACCATATTGTTTCTATTTTACCACTTTTGATTGCCAACTCAACAAACTGATTGGACTCTTCCTCTCCCCCAAACCAAACTCTTCCTCTCCCCCATTAAACCCTAGCCACCGCCGCCGCTTTTCAACCTCGCCGCCGCCAGAGCGGCTCGCCGGTGTGCGGGCCTGCTGGGATGGCGGCGGTGCGGTGGGTCAACTTTCGATCTGGCGAGCAACGCTATGGTGGTGGTGGCAGGGCCTGTTGGCGGCCGGCCAGGAGGTGGCGGGGACGCTCTGGTGGACGTCTATGCGGTGGCGGTGAAGCTCCGGCGAACGGTGATGGAGGTGCCGATGTTGGTGGCGGCAGTGCCCGTTAGGCGGCCGGCTAGGCGATGGCGGTGACGCCCGTTGGCGGTCCGCCGGCGCGATGGTGGTGAGGGTGCTGGTGGTGGCTGAGGGAGCTGATAGTGGAGGTGGTGCTCCGGTGATGTGTGGTCGTGATTGCTAAGGCGACTAGGATGTACAGGAGGCGTCGGCGTGTTGGTGGGCGGCGGTGGCATTGGAAGGTGACGGAGGCTAGTCATCCACCCCTTACTCTGCCACCGGCGGCCATGGACAGTGGTGAGGCTAGCCCTCCACCCGTGATGGTAGGTCGACAGCATGGTGTTGGTGGTCGATGGTTGTGGTGTGGCCACGACAGTCTATGACCACGGCGGCGAAGGTTCTCGATGGCGGCGTCCTAGGGGCAGCAGTGACTTGGCGAGCTCCGACGCCCCGTTCTGTTCACGGCCAAGCGAGGGTGGGGGATGGTGGTCGTCGATATCTTGGTGACAGGGCCGGGCTAATGGTGCGATGGTCATCGACTTGCTTGATGCAGATAAGGATGATGGCAACGGAGGTTCTCAGTGGCGGCGTCCTAGAGGGGGAAGCTGCCACGTGAGCGTCGGCGTCAAGGTCTGCTTGCGGATAGGTGTGGACGGCAATGGAGCATCTTTGGCAAGTTGATGGCAGTAAAGGCAAGGTGCATATCATGCTGGATGACTCTACGATGCTCTAGGAGCTACGGTGAGTTCGATGGTGTGCGGAAGACGGTGGTAACGCAGCAAGGCGGCTTCGTGACGCACTATGGGCGTTCAAAATGCGGCAGCGGCGTAAGTGGTTTTGGACAGCGACAGAGGACATTAGGCATAGCAGTTGGCAGCATATGTTGGTTGAGTTCTACAGAGACGGAGATGGTGCGGCAACGGGTAGCACGGACTAGTTCTGTTTCTCCTCTTCCCCCTCTCGCACTTGGTTGGATAGATTAAGTATTCGATGAAGGTTGAAGCTAAGTCTTCTAGCTTTTCTCTTTTGTGTTAGTGTGTTTTTCTGTGTGAGATTTAGAGTCCAAGAACTCGTGTAATGTTTTGGTTGTGTATATCTTTGTGGATATAGAGACCGGATTAATGAAAAATCCATTATCTAAAAAAACTCAACAAACTGAGGAAAAACGTTGGTCAGTTTCGAAAAGAAAAAAGGAGCCTGAAAATTACTTGAAATTTTGATCAGATGACTGATTTTGCATTATCTACTGGTCATTTTTTTCCCAATCATTAGATCACCATACGAGAAAAAGAAAACAAAGATACTATGTAGAAACTTTGGATCAAATTAAGCAATAGTAATCAAACTTTGGTGGTGGAGGGAGGATACGTGTTTCTCAAACAGCCCTGTTGGCAGTTCCTTCCTGTAATTTAAAAAGGTAAATAAAACCAAATTGGTATCTCGAGAAACTTACATAAAGGTGTTCCAAGGAATCCGAATTATTCGTAACAGATATCTGCATAGATAATGGTTATGAGCTATAAAAGGAAAAATAAAATGGAAGAACTCAAGAACATAATGCTAAGCGTTAGTTTCAGAATACAGAAGGGAAAATAAAACGGAAGCATGATGCATGATGCTTGCCCCCTGTGCCAGTATCCAAATTAATCAAACACACAATTCAAAGATAATGAGATGCAATCGGTAATCATCCTATAAACTAAATCCTACTGATGAACTGATGATCACTTAACCTACCATATGCTGTGTGTCTTTCTGGCTCCAGTCTTCGCACAGGCAAAGTTGCTTCTTCTGAAAAAGGCTGCATCTCCCTGTCGAACTGGAAATCCTAGATACTGATCATCGATGGGGGATCATCGCTATCACTCTCTCCGCTCCTACCCATAGCTATTTCCAGAATCAGATTTCCCCATCTCCGTCACGCATTCGGCATTGCCCCCCTTCTCCTTCTGTATTAGCTCTCCGATCCGTCTGTCCGGAGGGGTTTGGAGAGGCAGAAAGATGGCCCGAACAGAGAACGAAGCATACCTGGGTACTGCGTAGAGATCGCTAACCTGGGATCACCAGGTGGAGGAGCGCGGCGGTCGTCGTCATCGGCGGCGGCGGCGGCGGCGGCGGTGTGCGGAGTGGGAGCGTGGCCGGTCGATGGCAGAGAAGGATGGTGAAATCATGGGCCGGGCCGGGATGGGCAGGAGGGGTCTTCCAAGTTAAGGACCATTAAACTTTTGAGGCCCAGGTTGACGTATGCGCTTACCTGACCTGCTCAAAGTTTTATGATGGGCCGGGCCGAGGTATTTTGGAACCGTACGATCCGAACTTTTACAAAATACACCTTGTTTTCTAGCGAAAATGCTTTAACTCGTACGTCGGCCGGCGCGCGATAAAAAATCGGACGCTAACCTAGTGGGTCCCACTCCTACCTAACTACTCTCTCCATCTTCTTTCCCCGGCAGTCAACCTTATCCTCATTTCCAACCATCAATTTTCCTCTCCTCTCTCCATGCCTGTGCTAGCATCGACACGAAGTGGGTAGACGCGGTGCGACGAGGCGGTGGTGGTGCCGGAGAGGAGGAGCGTGGCGGTGCTCGGACGAGGACGACGCGGCGGTACGGCAGCTCGAGGGGAGGAGGCGACGGAGCACACCTTCATCGTGCCTGGGCTCCGGCGGCGGCGCTCGGACAAGGTCGAGCTAGCGAGGATTGTTGCACACCACGTGTTCTTTTTTTGTTGCACACAGTGTGTTTGTGATGTTGCAATCTGTCTTTTCAATACGTTTCTTAAATCAGTAATGTGTTTTCTAGATGTTCCTCAAAAGTTCTGTGCATTTGATTTCTTTGAATGTTGCACCTAATGTGTTTTTTGTCGTTGCAATCAGCGTTCTTAAGTGCTGCATTCGTTTGAAACATTTTTGATAAAGCGGTGAAACTATCTTCAGTGAAAGATGTAACGTCAAAAAACAATTCATATTGAAACATTTTTTTTTCGAGCAATAAAACATTGCAACATTTTTTCAACATATAATGCAACATCGTCCAGAGATTTGCAAAAAAATCTCCGGACGTTCGACACGTAGCGCGGGAAAATAGGTAGTGATTAGCTCTGACCAAACTCAAGAGTCACCAGACAACATGAGAAAGGAGTGTCTCATCTCACTGGAGAGGAATAGAATAACTTTTCAAGATACAAGCCAAAATGAAGAGCAGGTTGATTTTGTAATTATGCAAGAATTCGACGCTCACGGCCTAGCACATAGAATCTACTAGTTCGAAAACACAACTTTTGTCTATGGCTTTGGCGAAAGATGTTTGTTGTTTCCTTTGCACTGCATGTAACAGATATGTAAAACTGTAAACCTTTTTTCTTTTATCTCCTCCTACCAATATAAAACGACAGAAATTCAATTCCTTTCATAAAAAACAGGGCATGTTTCTATCAAAAAAAAAAACAGGGCATGTTTTGTAAGGAAAAAATATAATGCAAACTTTATATATGATGTAAACCTGTAAACTACCATAGGATGAAACGGTAGTTTGCAGATTTATACTGTATATGGAGTTTATACTATTACATATTTACACTACATAGGGAGTTTACATTACATATTTCCCATATTTTGTATCACAATTATTGGTAGCGATCCAAAGGTTTGCAAAAAGACCCTTAGTTTTGCATTGTAATCAGTAGTGAAATGAAAATTTACGAACAAACCCCTATTTAGGATTGTGATTAATGGCAATATTAATCCAAGATGTAACGATGTTTTCCTCGTATGGATAGGAAAACTTAACGTGGTGTATCTTCTTTATCTTTTCCCTCTATAGGTTTATTCATATTTTTTTATGCTATGTAATGTATGAGTAATTAATTAAGTGTGTAATCTAAATTTATAAATTTTAAGTGAAACTTATGTTAGTATTGATATAGTCCAATCTAAATTTAAGGTTGTTTCATTAATTTCATTATTGGAGCTTACATCCGCTACCCAGACACTAATATAATCTGTTATCAACCCGCTATACGCTATTTTATTAGCTTGTTACGTTAATATATTTCATGCCTATCAGCCTATGTCTATCTTTAGTAATTTTTTTTTGAAAATTGAGATAACTTTCTAGACATGGTTTTCACAGGGTATTTCACTTATTTGAAGTTATCACTAGATATTTCCCATATAAAAAACACAGAAGGAATATGCTACTCCCTCCGTTTCAGATTATAAAACGTTTTGATTTTGGTCAAAGTTAAACTATTTTAAGTTTGACTAAGTTTGTAGACAAATATAATAATATTTATAATACCAAATTAGTTTCATTAAATCAATAATTAAATATATTTTTATAATAAATTTATCTTGGGTTGAAAATATTATTATTTTTTCTATAAACTTAGTTAAAGCTGAAACAGTTTGACTTTGACCAAAGTCAAAACGTATTATAACCTGAAACGGAGGTAGTATATATCATCACATATACCAGTACAAAAATGTACATGTGCACGCGTAGTCGCGTACACATCTATTAGTATATACATATCCCCTAATTTCTACCTCTAATATAGCATGATACGTACGTCCTACAAAACTTAACTAGAGCAAAGAAAAGATACAAACAAGATCCAAAACAAACAGGCAGGCCAGCATGCATGCAAAATCGGTGAAGAAACATCCACCGTCCATCTCCAGATGATCGATCCATCCGACGATCTCACGCTCATCTCCATCATATCCTCCTCCATGGCTGCTCCTGCTACTCGTCCATGTCTTCCTGTATCGGCTCCAGCTTGGACGGCGACGGCGGCGGCCGGCGGCCGCCGCCGCCCTCCTCCGCCTTCACGGGCTCGACGTGCACGTCGCCCATGCTCATGATCTCCGCGACGACGTCCTCGACGGCCGCCCCCCTCCCGGCGCCGGCCAGCAGCCGCCGCAGCTGCCCCTTGGTCATCCGGATCTTCACGCGCCTCGTCGGCGAAGAAGAACCCTCGCCGCCGCCGCCGCCGTCCTTGATGATCTCTTTCTTCCTCGTCGACGGTACACCACCTCGCGCCCCGCCGCCGCCGCCGCCGGAGAACTCCGCCGCCGTGGCGCCCCAGAACTCGTCCTCGCCGCCGTCGCCCTCTTCCGCGCCCCACGCCGTCACCTTCGCCCTCGCCCTCTCCAAGCAGTTGCAGTTTCCCATGGCAAAGAGACCAAAGCTAGCTCAGATCGAGCACACTAGCCACTACAAGGAGACGATTGAAGGAGATGATGCGTTGACGCGTGGTGCCTAGCTTTGAGGTTTTCACTTGGTTTTTCTAGCTTTGCTTGCAGTGGAGACGAAGAGTATGGTGTACATATTTATAGCAGGGTTTGTTTGCTGGAGCAAGTTCTACGAAAGCGAAATGAGACGGCAGCGTACGGACGAACAGTGCATGCCGTGTATGCTTTTGCACGAATTTTTATGAAGATGGATTAAGAGGATCGGAGGAGCTAGCTAGTTTAATTAACTATATTTAAGTGTACATGCTCAGGCTTTGACCGGGATAGATGTTTCCTCGCGGGAGATTAATTAATGTGGTACTGTATGATTAAATACTTTCATGTCGGCTGATTAAGCTGTGATTATGCGTACGCTTGCTGCCTGCAGATATATATGAAAAATAATACTTCCTCCGTTTCATAATGTAAGACTTTCTAGCATTGCCTATATTCATTTAGATGTTAATGAATTTAAACATATGTATGTGGACAATGATAGAAAATCTTGCACTGTGAAACGGAGGGAGTAGATGCTTAGCTAGTGAAAGTAATGTTGGGTATAGAAATGAAGGGGTGGCGGCAGAGGATCGGAGCAAGATTAACGTATAGTACTAATTTTGTTGTGTCGCCGTTACTTCTACGTCCTTCTCACCAATGTCAATGAGCACCTGCTTGATATATAAAAACAAACTTTGAATTAAGCTAAGCATGGATAACGTTATTTCACGTACGTATGCAATATGTTAGTTATATTATCAGTAGATCGGCTTGCAACTGGAAAGATTAGAAAGAAGTCATGGTTTGCAGCGAGAGATAGTACACTGCTGCTGTTGGATATGAGTACGTTTTAATTTGGTCTTGCGTACAGTATTGGCACTGCCTGTTGGATACTACTCTGGATTCGATCATATCGATCGTAGATCGAGCTGCAGAAAACTCTCACAGCACACGCTTCTGAATGGACGTACATGTCATACATATGCATCACTCGCCTTGAAAAAAGTTCCTTGTCGACGTACGTTCATTATCTAGTCGTGATCGATGTTCGTGATTACAGCTGGTTAGTCGCACTTACCCACATCAGTTTTCCTGCCATTGACAGACATGCTAGTCAGGCCTCTTGCAAGTGGTAAATTTGCTTTCAGAAGGTGTGGTAAATAATCAAATCAAAGCACACATCAACTTTTTCAAAAGACCTATACTCCTATAATCTGCTAAAACCTCTTACTATTGGATGAGACACATCCTAATAATATAAATTTAGATAGCCCATATATCAGATTCGTAGTGTTAAGATGTATTTCATCTATACCTATGTTGGTATATTTTGAGACGGAGATAGTATATATATTATTAACCCCATCTCATAATATAGTATCATAAGTTCAGATGATACTCAATATGTACTACTATGAATATGAACATATCCTATGTTTATATTACATTCGTAGTATAATAGGTTAAGTTTCATTCAATCTTAGGTTACAAATTAAAATGGAGAGAGTAGCAGGACAGTAGTAGCATGAACTCGATCGCCCATAGTAAGCGATGTATCGATCGAATAATCGAATGCCGTGTGGTCTCAGAAATTCAGAGAACCAATTAAGCTTTAGAAAAAAAGAGCCGGTGCTAATGTGAGCAATGACATCGGCAGTTGCATTGCCGTCGCCCGCGTGAACGCAGAATGGCAGATGAAAACCAGCCTGGCTGACCTCCACTTGCAGCTAAATTATTTCATCGCTACAACTGTTTGATCACCCACAATTAGTTCATCCCCCCAGCCGAGGCCCGAGATCCATGTCCCGTGCGTGTCCGCCACGCGCCTTTGGAATAATTTAACGATAAAATTCTCGCTTTTTCAGAGCTACTCGATCGATCAGGTGGATCTGACCGACCGAACTGATTCTTTCTGGACATTTGTATATGGAGCACTAGTTTCCCAGCAGGGTCGTCGTGACGTCGTCTTGCATTGCCGGGGGGAAGAAGACGACTTGGTGCTCTCTACTCCTCTCTACTCCAATGTCGGCCGGGCAGCTGGCATTTCTGGCGTGTGTGCTGTTGCTCAAGAAAGAGACTGATGATTCTAAGGGTGTGTAGCTTTAAAAACTATGGAGAAAAGTTGTACGATCGACGACGTCTTTGTGTGTAGCTATCCGAATTGGTCTCTTGTACGTCTCACTGTTCATGCTCAAGACCTCCATCCATATAATAAGAGAAGGATGGCACGGTTTGCGGCTACATCCTACAGTAGCATATTGTTAATTAATAACAGTACATGTTGGATATTATGATCAAAAGACATACTGATTTATTGTGTATACATGTAGGGACGGCAGTGGGGGCAGTGAAAACCGTGGGAAAGATGAGCTTACAGGACAAAGTGGTTTGGTGGTGGAGCTTGACAGGATCAGCTGCAACTGCAAGAGTAGAGGAGAGGTACATGCATGTACGGCATGTCTTAAGACGCCTCTACCTGGGCATCAGCAATGTATACTATCTACATAGGTATTAGCGTGGGCCTAGATAACAGGCGGTAATAAAGAGAGGCATGCTTCACATTGCTTATTTCTGTGAGTTGGCAGTAAGGTGGAGTCCATGGGGTAAAAAAATCGCAGCAAGGACGAAGCATGCATGCAACGGTTGGGAGAAGCAATGCTTTTGCTGTCAGAAAATACTGTGCACATGCATATTCTATTTCCTTGCTTCCGGCAGTAGGGATATGACCCGGTTGCAATTACGTACTAGTCTCACAATGTTTACTACCCGGTAGTAAGGATGTATTTATTGCTTACTATCGGTTTGTGAGCATATTGCTGATGCCCTAAACAAAGTGCATTCATATGCTTTGGTGTAGCGGGTGACATGGACAACGGACACGAGCTAAGGATAGGGGAGAGAAGTGATGGTGGCTTGGAAGGGGCCTAACCATTGGGAGTGATAGCACGGTTTAATTGTTGGGCCTCATTAGCGCCAAAGATGTCACTAGAGAGGTAGGAGGTGGCATGGGATACAGCAAAGTAGGATGAAGGAGAAGACCGGAAGGGAGATATCTTAACTGTTTGATCTATATATCTTATACCTAGAAAATATGATCGTTGACCTAGCTAAAACATTCGAGTATTTTGTACACAGTCCCATATATACTTCAACACATTCAAAAAAAAAAGAGCTATGATGTTCTATCATGCTGTGAAAAGTATTACTTCCTCTGTCCCAAAATATAAGCATTTTTAGAATAGTGTCAAGTCAAACATTTTTAATTTTGAGTATTAATAGAAAAAAAAGATCAATAATGTAAATTAGATGTTACTAGATTTATCATTAAACAAACTATCATAATATGCAACTCCTTTTATTTAAAACATCTTACTTTTATAGATATTATTGGTCAAAGTAGCACCTTGAAGACTGTGTTGAAGTCTAAAAATGCTTATATTTTGGGACGGAGGAAGTATTATATACTCTTACTCTACTTAGTATAAGAGGCCTTGGTTACAACTTACAATAGCTCCTATCTGGCTATCTTAGTTCTTACGGTGATTATCTTATTTGGCCAACAACTTCATTCTTATAGCAAACCAACAGAGCACATAGGAAAGTCAATGATCCTCACCATATAGCTAGTGCCACCGATAAATTGAATGATCAAAAATTAGGAGACAAATTTTTAAATCTTTTGTTAAAAACCTTGCAAACACATCCGTTGTTCATAAAGATGTACATAGAGTACTTTAACCTCTAAACAATTCTAATACCACCATAAACATCACGGGGAGTACAACCGGCCAAAACCATATATCTAAATAGATCTAAGGGCAAGGCTAATATTTGTTACGCAACATATAGCATTAAAATAGGTCCTATTGTCAGTTGATCGTAGTTGTTACCTTAGCACGAAATTAAGTTCTCGATAAATAATATATGTAACTCATTCATAAATAAATAAAAACTATCCAAATAAGCCTTTTATTAGGTGGAGAGAGAATGGAGCAGAGGGAGAAGAGAGATTCTCTGATCTTTTTATTCGCTAGCGACCAATCGCAAACTTATGATTATTTTTTTTTGTTATGACTTAGCTTCAATGTCACAATAGCTATATTGTTCACCTTAGAGACTTTAATGTTACTTTTTTTTACAACATTGCGATGTCCTAAACATCTAAAAAATTTATTCCAACGAAACTACGAAAACTAGCTACAGATCAATATGAGATAGACAGGAACTGACACGGAGCGCAAGTGGTGCAACAATCTCGACGCAAGTTGTGAAACTGAGAGAAAAACTTTTTAACTCACATTATAATTGATTAGCCTTTCTCCAAAAGAAAATTAACTCGATCTATTTCAAAAATAGAAGATAATTTGTCGTTTTATACGGTGTTGTTCTGTACTAATTTTTTTTAGACAAGTCACGCGGGGGCCGGGGGGATTCCCCACCTGAATTTTATTGATGTTACAAAGGCAGTTCTACACAACATTTAGAGGTTGGAGGGAAGAGGAGAAAATGTTCTTCCAAATCGCAATTACAAAGCGATCGTTGCGCTTAATTCGTTCTAGCCATATCCCACACTCTTCAACACACTTAAGCAAAACCAACTGAAGTTAGGGGGCTGCATTTCGAAAGACAACATCATGTCTATGGTTCCAGAGCGTCCAAAAATATAACATGAAGAAAACTTGAAAATGGAGTGCCGGTAATCCCCCAGAGGGCTTAATGTTCGCCAGGTTTTTGACGTCCTGACCCATCATATTCACGCTGATTATTGTCCTGACCCGAGGGCAGTGCAGGTTGAAGTGCCTGGTATTCTCCGAGGCATTGGCACAGATATCACATGTATCAACTGAAACAATTCCCTTTTTGATGAGATTATGCTTTGTAGGGAGTCGCTCTTTTGCCAGAAGCTAGGCGAAGAATTGCACCTTTAGTGGCGCTCTGTTGTTCCAGACGAAGCTCCAGTTTGGACAGATTTAGTGCAGCATTATCCTGGAGTCATAGTTTTGTTTGGCCAGGATGATTTCAAGATGGGGAGTTCCTTTACTTTTCCTTTTGTTAGGGCAGCCTTGAAGA